CAAGCCAGCCCAGCAGCAGCCCAGATCCTCGGCCCAACCTCCGACGTGGCTGCCCTGATGATTACATATCATATCAGACCCCCCCCCCCCCCCCCCCCCCCCCCCCTTGGCCTCACGTCCACCCACGATCTAATGGACCTCACGGATCTCCCACTGTGCATCTCGACTGACCTTCAGCAGGACCTTTTTCCTGGATGCCATTTCGCAAGATTTGAGTAAGGATCCGGTGAGTGTGCAGTATTCGAAAGGAGCCTTGGGCCGAAAGGGGCTGGCTGAGGGCGAGTCTCTATAGCAAGGCTATGGGTGAGCTGAAGCTTTGGCGGCAGACTAGGCAATGAACAGGAGGTGCGCAAGCTTCCAGATGACGAGATGCTCGAGGACTACCGAGGGATAATGATGCGGGCGATGGTGGTTCAGGAACCGTACAGGGGGGAGGGAGATGTGCTGATCAGACTTGGGTGTGGTGGGCGTGTGTGGCTTGTGTGCGGTGTGTGGGCGGGCGGGAGCCTTGGCACATGGCAACCCCAGCCCGAGCGTCATTGCGCGCATCCCACGCCTTTCCGCCTCGGCCTGCAACTTTTGCCCCCGCCTGACCAGAGAGGCAGCCTTACTCCCGAAGGTGCATAGACACCAAGGGTCACAGCTCCCTCAGCCAGAGGAAAAGGGTCAGATGTGATGTGGATGTCGACCTCAGAACTGCACTCCGAGGCCGGCAGCAGAAGGGATCACAGTGACAGAGGGAATCAATATTGACAGGAACAGATACATTGAGGACAATCGCGCGGTCACACTACCAGCAAGGGTGTTCGCTGCCAGGAGCCCTCATGCTCGTTGCCGTTGGCGTGCTCCGATTGTCTTGAGCTGTGAGGTCAAAGGAGAGGGAGGTGATTGTAAGCAACACATGGTTTATCCGCCGAGATTCGCACCAGGAGAATGAGCTACTTACATGAGCGTAGACCTTTCCAGGTGGGCTACCCATGATCAGACTGACACATGCGTCCCTCGCAATCTTGATATTGCCAAAGCTTCCCAGAATATGAATCTTGGTATCTGCCAGGACAATTCTCGTTCTCGAGCTGTTCTCGATGGCAAATCTTGTCCTGCCGTCCTTTCCAGCCAATCGACCAATGGCTCGCGACAGATGGTCACCTTGCAGGGTCTTCACGTCCTTGATTTCAAAGGTGTCTACGAATAGATCATCCATTCGCAGCAAGGCAATGGCGTCGTCTGCCTCGAAACCCAGAGCATAAGCCTTGACGAAATCGGCGCCTTTCTGCAGCAGGCCGGTCTCGGTTGTATGCTTGGACGACTGGCAGAGGATAGATAATGAGAACGCCTGTCAGCATCTCTCCATCTCTCGTGCAAGTACTTCCTCTTCTCACTCATGAAGCCACTCACTCTGATCTCCACCATCCTCCTGACCACGTTCATTCGCACCTGCAACCCCGCCATCTCCACCAGTGGTGTGTAGATCTTTGGCCAATCATTCTTCAGAGGTGTCATCCTATGAGGTGGGATAGGAATCTTCCTGAGCTGGCCCTTCTTGACTGCCTCGGCCGAGGAAGCTGCTGCTGCCGCTGATTGAGCTGATTTGGTCATCGGGGTGAAGCTTGGGCGAGAGGCAATGTCTACGTCCATTGTGTCTGCAGATGCTACCGACTTTGAAACGCCAGCCGTGTCAGCTAGAGAGGCACGTGGAAGGGAGCTGGAGCCGATCAGGAGATCGTCATCATCGTCCTCAATATCGTTGTCGCCTGACATGATGCTCTCATCGTGGCCCTGGCTAGCCTTGCCAGCAGTCGATGACTTAGACGCAAGCAAAGCGGCCTTTTGCGATGACGAGGCCTTGCTCTTGCTCAGCGAAGAAGATGACATGACGAAAGAAGCGATTGCGATTTCAGCAGAGCGTGATGCTGTGCGAGCTGGTGAGGGGTAATGGAAGAGGATGAGGCAGTCGTGGTATGCGAAGATGTGGTGGTGAAATGTATCAGCACGGGACCACCACGAGAGGCAGGTCCCAGATTTCAAAAATTTAGCGGGTCGGAGCCAGGCACGGAGCTCAAATCCGGAACGGAAGCGTCGAACACATTCACGACTCGGCAGAGAGCACGACTGCAATGATGAGGGAAACAGGCAACGTGGGTGGGTCAAATGGCATCGTATTAATATCCCGGATGATGAGTGTGTATCTGTGCCCGAGTAGGAGCCAAAAGTGAACCTGCTTTGCGAGTGCGCCCAGGTCGCGTGAGGGTGCGCCTGCTTGCGGGAACATCGAGGGTTGAAAGTGAGAGACGAGGTCAATGCAGTCAAGTGCGATTGAGCATGCTTCTCTGCCCGCCTACCCGTCAGCCAGTCAGACTTGGCAGACACTCTTCCAAATGATCCCCTGATGCTCTCCGAAATGCCTCGAATAGCCATGTGATGCTGCCCTTTGATCCAGTCTCAGGGTCCTTCCTATTTGTGTGTGTGTGGAGTAGGGTTTGTGGGCCCTGCTGCTGCTGTGCTTCCCTTTGGCCCTGGCCCCTGTCTGTGTCTGGCCCCCGCAAGCCCTGGTGTGCGTGGGCGGCCTCTGGCGGTGCGCCTGTGCTCCTGCTGGCGTGGGTGCATCGTCGCGCCGCGCTGAGGCACTGCCGTGCGCCTGGCGCCTATCTCTCATCGTCATCGATCCACTCACACCGAAAACCGCCAACATCTTCCTCCCCTTCCAATCCCATCACCTTGATAACTTCCTTGACGACTTTACCGAGAGACCATACGTTCCTCGACGACCACTCTCAGACCACCACCAAATTTCACCCTAACAAGCCCCATTCCAACAATGGCCGCCCAAGCCCAGCAAGCCCAGCAGAAGGCTGAGTACTTTGTTGCTCAGGTGAGCTCCGGGCATGCGATGGACGCACCACACAGCTTGCCGAGGCCAATCTGCTTACATCCCCACTCATTTCACACCTTCGACTGCCACAGATTGACAAGGAGGTAAGTTGTTGCGTAGACCCTTCTGCTTCGATGCCTTCCGAGATCGGCCCAGGCTCTATACACCTTGCGAGAGGCGATGGGACCGCCGACTAGAGAGGCTCACCCTATGCGCTCCCACCGCCAGTTGCTGTGGCTGGCAGCCTCAAGACCATTCACTTGACCGAGTCTGTACTAATGTGAACGGTCTTCTGATGTCTCTGCTTGTTCCTCGTTGCCCACTTTCAGCTCGAGAAGTACCCTCACCTGGTCAACTTCGAGCGATCGACTGGTGTCCCCAAGGCATACGCCGCCATCGGTACTCTCTCCATCCTGACCATCGTGAGTGCAAGAAGGAGGCGCTGTGAGCTTGCGTCGGTGCCATTGCTGACATCGCGCCTTCATCCTGCCCTTCTTCTGCCTTCCCCTTTCAGCTCATCTTCTTCAACATGTAAGTGGAGATATCTGTGCATGCATTTGTCAGACATTGCGAACCATTGTACTGATGCTCTTCACTTCACAATTGCTTTTTCTTTGCAGCTTTGCCGGCTTCTTGACCCAGCTGATTGGCTTCGCTGCCCCCGCCTACTTCTCCATGAAGGCACTTGAGTCTCCTCAGCCCCAGGATGACGTCCAATGGCTCACTTACTGGGTCGTCTTCGGTGCTTTCACCTTTGCCGAGAGCTTTGTCAACGTGTGAGTGATACAAGGATCGCCTCGTAGTCGTAGGGAAAGTGGTAGAGTGCAGCCGTGACTGACATGCACATTCCTCGTCCCCTCTCCCGTAGTATCCTGTACTGGTTCCCATTCTACTACACCATCAAGACTCTCGTCGTGCTGTACCTCATGCTCCCTCAGACTCAGGTATGTGTGCCATATCGTTGCGGTCCGCGGATGAAACGTTAAACGTTGCTGACCCGTCTTCTTCCCTGCAACGTCCATCTACGCCGACCAGGGTGCCAAGGTCGTCTACGCCCGAGTTCTGCGACCTGCCTTTGCCCAGACCAGGTCCGCTGCTCACTCGACGAGCGCAGCCCCCACCACTGGCGCTACTCAGTAAAGAGTGGAGCAGCCGCTCTCTCGGATGGACAAGTGCTTCGATGGCCCATCGTGACTGGTACTGGGATGTGGAGGAGATGATGAGCCTATCTCTGAGCAGAGTGTCATAGGCATCTGGAATCCTGGCGAACCTCTCGTGCAGTCACAAGGGTACACTAGTCATCGTGTCCGTCTGGAAGTGGACTCTGTCGAGAGACTCCCCTTTGCTCCTTGTGCAGCTGTCCCCGTTACCTCACCGTATCACCTTTGGCGCCAAACGGCAATGTCGCTTCTTCCACACCATCTTCCTTCAAACCCCTGCCCTCTTTTCCTTCAATCTCAAATCCCACTGGCGAGGACCTCGATGTGAGTCGTGTTGCTCCTCGCCGCTCCGCCTTCCTCCCTCTGTTCCTGTCGATCCTTCCTCATCTCGAACGAAATGGAAATACGAAAGACTGAACCTGGTCAACTAGGAAAGTGAGGGAAGGTCGAGCCCAAGAGAGGAAGCTACTCGATCGAAATGTTTGCACTGGACTGGTCGTACGGTCGTCCATGATGGCTCTTGATTCTTACCGAATGCGAAGATGGAACCACGGTAAGGTCTCGGTGTGGAGTAAGGTCTGCGAGTGGGACTTGTTCCGCTCATGTACTCCGTTCCGATTCGGCCCATGCCTAGTTTCGTTATTGCTTGCTGCTAGCCATGAATGCGGATCAATGTCCGCACTACACTGCTTGTATCGCCCTGTTCGAGTGAGTCCCGAATCCCCTATGCAATGCCCTCGACTCAGCTCCGTTGTGATCCTTGTACATGTCTGTCTCGCCCTCAGGCCCATAGTCCGCTAGCATCAGTGGCTCGTGCAACTGCTGAGTCGTGCGGAGTCACGATAAGAGCAGCCCAGACCGAATGAGATGACGGAGGCAGACACAGTGTCCACACTGAAGGCCCATATCCCAGCATGTGAAATCGTTCCTGACCGGCTGGGAGAACAAATCTTTGAGCCTTCATATTGCGAATGTCTTGTCTTCTCTTGACCCCTTCCCCCTTCCCCCCCCCCCCCCCCCCCCCCCCCCCCCCCCCCCCCCTCCCCCCCGCTCTCACAAGCGCAATTCCTCCTCATCCCTTCTACGCGCTTCCCTGCCTCACCATACCGTCAACAATGGGCATCGGAGAGGACCATGGCCGCAATGCCGGGCAGAAGCTCGGCGAATCTCTGGAACAGGTCGCAAGCACCTTCGCTGACCGGGCTGAGCAGATACAAGACCGAGCCATTCTCGCTGCTGCGAACCTCACGGAAAGCATCACTAGAGCTGCCAAGGAGACAACAGCTCAGACTGTAGCTCACGCTGTGAAAGCAGCTGAGATAGGGGCACGTACGGGCATGCATGCTGGTGAATATTGTGCTGCCTTCCTAAGTGAGAGCTTAGTCGAGTCGCTGACTCCTATTCTCGGTTGAAAGCCAATGTATATGGGGTCGGCCGAGCGCTTGCAGTGGCTCCAGAGATTCTGAAGGTGGGCGTTGAAGCTCACCAAAAGAACAAGCAAGTGGACATCGAGTGCACACAGGCCTACATCGACTTTGACCGTCAGAAGCATGATATCCGAGATCGGCAAAGCAAGGAATGGGACCAAACCATCTCAGATGCAGTCAAGAAGGAGGTCGAAGAAATCGAACACTTCATGAAGGAGCCTCACTTCTCATACAATGAGGTCGGAGCATCGAAAGATATCTTGATAAGTGGCGTCGAACAGAAGGGACAGGAGCAACGCGCAATCACCTGGATTTTAGGCATCGTCTGCAACGAGTAAGTGGACAGCGTTTATCACTGCGGACCCATTCTTCTCCGACAAGTCGGATCAACTATCTGACTGAAAGCAGCTTTGCTCCTTTTGTCGTCAGATCTAGGAGACTCAGGATGCTGTTACGGTCTCTGAGACACATTTTTCCTACCGCAAAGATTGCGAGCGGCAGTAACCATAGAATTTGTTTGGAGGTCATTGTCGCCATGGCGGAAGCACTGCCTCCTGATACACGCGTGTGAGTGCACCAGCAGCGGAGCAGCCCAACATTTCCTGAAGCCCTTCATCTCGTCTCAGATTCGTCTTTGCACGCTTCGCAAATGTCATTGGCCGTACTGAGGCTGTACATCTGGACGAAGAGGTCTTCAACGTCCCGTACAACTTGGCCGCCGGCATCAAATTTGTTGGGGTCTGTGCAGAAGCCTCTCCTGATTCAGTGGGACCCCACAGCTCAGGAGCTTATTGCCGATCATCGATTTCCGCTTTGGCTACGGTGACGCTCTCCGAAGGCAATCCCGAGCTCTTCTTTGATGCCACACGCTGGCGCAAGACGGCCCTCACCAATACCTTTCTTCATATCACTCGAGGGGAGAGGCTATCCACGCTGAAAAATCTCACCTGGAAACAGAATTTGATTCTGGGTACAAGCGCTGCCTCTGCAGCAGCAGAAGCTACGACTTTCAAACTCTTCGGTTCTGGGTACTTGACCATGGGATGGCACACAGTCTCGAAGAGCTCCCAATGCCTGATCGGAGTGAGCCCTGCCATGGTGCTACTTTCGCTTCCTGGGGCCGTCTCACTCGGGGCACTCGGCTACGACCGCCTCACAAGTGATCACGTCTGTCTCCTCAATGGCAGCTCCGATAGCAATCGCCCCGTCAAGCTGTCCAAGAAGCTACTGGATGAACTAAAGCAGTACGCACACACATACTTCCTGACCTTCTCGGACAGCTTTGGCCCAGTACAAGGCCTGTCGGCCCCTATTGCTTGAAGGTGAAGGGCTGTAAAGCCATGCTTGGTAATATACGCGTGTGATCGTTCTGCAGGTCTGTGTCGTAGTCCGTCAATCTACCCAGTCTTCACCCCTTAGCGCTTCTCCCGTTGCGCTAACAGCTTCTTCTACCGCCTCAATCTTGCTCATGTATCTGCCCCCTTTTCGTCCGCGCCCCTTCACCCGTTCCATGCCCACTGTCGTCCTCGCAAATACTTGTCGCTCAGTCGTAGTCAGGCGTGTCGGCGAGTGAGTGTGCGAGGGTCTGTGCCGTGCCCTTGGCTGTAGCCCATCTTCTCCACCCCGGCGCGGATCCCGGCCTCGGCTGGTTGGCGAGGCAGGGCGGGGCGGGGCGAGGCGGAGATGGAGGCTGGGCTGCGTCGCTTGCTTCCTTCGCTCACGTCTGACAAGTAGCATACATTCACTCCTACAAGTGCATTCCACCCGCCTTGTTCTCGCCTTCTTCATACTCATCCTCCCCCGCAGCATACACACACATCCTCATTCTTCCTCCTCGTCTTCTTCTCCTCATCCCCACCTCGCCAGCATCTCTACCCAGCGAATTCCATGGCCCTCGCCCATAGGAGTTACTGAAAGCCCAACCAACTCAATACAACCCCGCCCGCCTGTCCTTGTCAAGCCGTACCCGCAAGGCATCAGCTGTCAGGAAGACGACTCCGCTCCGCCGTAGTCTGCTTGTTTGCTCCGTGACAGTGCAAGAGGTGGTCGGACGAGCGGCTACACTCTCAGCATCAGCATCGTCTGCCGCTTTTCCCAGCATACAATCCTCTCGCAGCATCTCCCTCCGTCACTCGCATGCCAGATGGTGTCCAGTCCTACTTATAGCCAGGCCTATGCCGACGACGACGCCTATGGGGGTGTCAGCGAAGTCGGCGATGGTACCGTGGGACAGGAGTATTGGAGGAGACCAGACAACGGAGTCCGGAGCAACAACAATGGCGCACCCTCAGCTGCTGCTCCCCCCTTGGCTCTCAGCTCTGGCAGCGGCTGTGAGTATTATGCGGCGATGATGACTCTGACGAAGAGACAGCTGATTTCTAATACACTCGCTTTGCCAATGATCACTGCCAATGTTCCTCGCCTCCGCTGGCTCCCCTTCCTACCCCTCTTGCAGACCATTATCCCACAATGTACCAGCAGTCGAATACTTCGGCTCCCGCCTTCGATCATTCTCCTGCCTCTACCCAAGGGCCTCCTCTGGCAGATGATCTCGGCTACGCATTCGATCGCATGAAGCTGGCTCATCCTGAGACGCTGGCCGGGGAACACAGTCGTGTGCGTGGCCACCCTTCTCGATCAGCTACCACTGGCCCCCAGCCTCCTTCTGCCTCTGGAGCAGCTTCCCACAGTCACGTTGGTTCAGCAAGTGGCAGCGTCGACCGAGCCAATGCCATGTATGCCCAGCAAGAGATTCATCAGTCGGCATCCGAAGTACGCGACGAAGACTCTCTTGCTGCCATTGCAGATTCCGTAGAGGCTACCGCCGCCGAGCTCAGACAAGGTACGGTCACCCCTTCGCCGCGAGCTCAACAGCAGCATCAACAAGGACAGCCGGCGCAGCAATATTACCAAGGCGGCGGAAGCCATCAGTATCAGCAGAGCAGCATGTATGGAGGTGGAGGGCCACAATGGGGCGGTCAGCAGCACCAGGGCGATTGGCAGCAGCAGCAGCAGCAGCAAGGCTATCACCCTCAGGGCTACCCTTCGCAGCCTGCTGGCTACCCCATGCAGGGAGCGCCGTGGAACAATGTTCCCTACATGCAAGATGGGCAGGCCGGCTACTACCCCTCCTCTGATGTGGGCAGTAGTGTAGGATACGACGCCTCTGGATCCAGCAATCCTTATCTGGCCGCTGCTCAAACTTACGGACTGGACTATCCTGGCTCTGCCGCTTCTAGTGTTCCCTCGACGTCGCCTCACCTCTCCCGGAACTCGAGCGGTGGCTCGCCCGGCCAATTCGGCATGACCCCGATGAGCGGTGGGTCAGGGATGGCGCCTCCACCGCAGCTCTATAGGCAAGCCACAGCCTTCTCCATTGGCTCCAGTCACTCTGGTTCTGGAGTGGGTATGAGCTCTGCTGCGCGCCGGCGGAAAAGCAAAGACGCAAGTCAGCCTCAACAGACGCTGCCATTCAACAAGGAGTTTGTGACCGAGTACCGGGCGAGGATGAAGGCAGATCCAGACCCAGAGGAGCAGTTCCGCTACGCCAGGTACCTTGTCGAGGCTGCAAAGAAGGTTCAAGACTCAAACGACGGTCCCAAGCAAGCCAGAAAATATCGCGACTCGCTGCTCAGCGAGTCCTTAAAGCTCATCAAGAAGCTGGCTACGACGGGAATGGGCAACGGCAAGCCGCCCTACGCTGAAGCGCAATTCTTCCTGGCCAATTGCTTTGGCAACGGCTCCCTGGGCTTACAGGTGGACCACGAAAAAGCGTACAATCTCTACGTGCAAGCTTCGAAACAGAACCATCCCGCGGCTACCTATCGAACGGCAGTGTGTAACGAGGTTGGAGCGGGCACGCGGAGAGACCATCACCGTGCCGTCCTCTTCTATCGGAAAGCGTCTGCCTTGGGAGATACGGCGGGGATGTACAAGCTGGGTATGATTCTGCTCAACGGCCTCCTCGGTCAGCCTCGCAACGTGAGGGAAGCCATCGTCTGGCTGAAGCGTGCCGCAGGTCAAGCCGACGAGGACAATCCGCACGCTCTGCACGAGCTCGGCCTGCTGCACGAAAAGCCAAACAACGTCGTACCACACGACGAGGCTTACTCGCGCGAGCTCTTCACCCAGGCCGCCCAGCTGGGATATGCGCCCTCTCAGTTCAAGCTCGGATCAGCCTACGAGTACGGCGCCCTGACCTGCCCCGTGGACCCACGGAGGTCCATCGCCTGGTATACCAAGGCTGCAGGGAAGAATGACGGTGAGAGCGAGCTGGCGCTCAGTGGGTGGTACCTCACGGGAAGCGAGGGTGTGCTAAAGCAGAGCGATTCCGAGGCGTACCTCTGGGCCAGGAGAGCAGCGACCAAGGGAATCCCCAAGGCAGAGTATGCCGTTGGATACTACAGCGAGGTGGGTATCGGTGTCAAGGCCGATCTGGAAGAGGCAAAACGTTGGTACATGCGTGCGGCCGCTCAAGGCAACAAGCGCGCTATGCAACGTCTTACGGAACTCAAGAATATGGGATCGAAAGCAGGTAAAGCACGGCCGACGAGGAAAGATGCAGAAAAGGAGTGTGTGGTGATGTGAGGAGGAAACGATGCTGGGGCGGAGAGTAGGAAGAAGCGAGTGAAGCCGAGCGAGGGGAGGGAGGGAAGTAAGGGGACAGTAGAGGAGTAGATCTTGTACATGAACACGAAGAAGCAGTATGCAGTGAAAGTCGTTGTTGCTTTGCAAGCCATGTCAACATCGAACCCTATATAGCTCTGCTCGGACGCTCCCTCCCCCCCTTTCCACCTCCATCCACATCACCTCACCTCCCCTGACCAGCCCGTGTCTCACCACTTCCCCTCCCCCTCGACACTCAAGCTCCGCAGCGTCTCCCTCGCGACCTGCAAAGCCGAAGCAGGCATCCCCGCGAGCGCAGCCACTGTCAGTCCGTGCGACTCGCGATTGACTCCGGGACGTAGCGCGTGCAGGTAGGTGATGGTATTCTGTGCGGTCCATTGACGCATGACGTGGGAGAAGAAAGGGGGGGAAACGGTAAGCATTATCGTGCCGTACAGAATGAGGCCTCGGGGGGCGACCCACCTCGCCTTGCACCACGTCGGTACTTGCGAAGCGCACGTGGGAGAAACTTTCGCTGCCCCGATGTGTGCGCTCGTCGTAGCCCATTCGATCGGCGAGCTCGTGGAGGTGCGTGGCGAAGAGTGCTCGGCAGCTGCGCACGGTCAATAGAGCACAACGGGTGTCAACAGCATTCGGCCTTACATGGAAGGTAGGCTCCTTCTATATCCGAGACGGCCTGACTCACCCAATCTTTGACAGCTCGGTCAATGTGGCAAAGGCAATTGCGATTCCTACATTGGTCGTGGTGCCTCTTCCAATCTCGTCTGCAATGACAAAGGAGCGCGAGGTGGCCCGCCGGAGAATTTCGGACGTTTCGAGCATTTCGACCTGTGTGAGAAAAGGTGCAATACGAGGACGGGAGGGTCAGCATCTTTCCCTGTGTGAGTTATCGTATCGTTTTGGCTGGCTCACTTACCATGAAGGTCGACCGATCCCGGAAGAGATCGTCCTTGGCTCCCACTCTGGAGAACAAGCGATCCACAACGCTCATCCTGACATGGGCGGCAGGCACAAAGCTTCCCGTCTGGGCGAGAATGGCAATGAGTGCGTTCTGCCTCAGATACGTGCTCTTCCCGCCCATGTTTGGACCAGTGATGAAGTGCAGTCTTCCGCCACCATCGTCTCTGCCTTCTCCGCCTCCTTGTTGACCCTCCGCGGCATTGGCAGGGGACATGATCAGATCGTTGCTGTGGAATGACCGAGCGGGCGATCGCTCTAGCAGTCCAAGCTCAACGCCAATATGTCTCCCTCCCCTAACCTCGAATATTCCCTCTTCCCCCTGCACCATCTCCGGCCGTGTGAGCGCAAGCTCCCTAGCTAGTGTCGCAAAGCCCATGAGACAGTCCAGCTCATCGATCCTCCGTGCGTTGGCCCGCAAGGTAGAGCTCGACTGGAGGACGAGAGAGCGCAGTCGCCGCAACTCGAGGGACTCGGCGCGCTTCAGCTCTTCCTGCAAGCGGAGCAGACGCGAGCCCAGCGAGGACCAACGGTCGAAGTAAAAGGTTCGGGTGGACTTGGTGCGATAGGCGAGGGTGAAGTGGTCTTCTGGCGAGGGGGAGCTAGAAGCTGCATCGCTACTGGTCGTGGAGCGATAGTCGGCAAAGTGGACTACGAAGCCCTGACCTAGGAGGAAGCGGAGAGAGAGTTTTCCCTGATTGAAGCGGGCCCGGAGTGAGGTTTGCAGCGTAGAGGCTTCGTGGCGGAGCGCTTCGTATTCCTTGGTCAGGGATGATAGCTGCTTTGACGAGCTGGAGACACAAAGAGAATGAGTCGTCAGTCTTCTGCGATGAGGTCAGAATCTGGGTTTCCTCGCAGTCTCACCTAGGTCGAATCAGATGCTCAAATGGAGCTCCCCACGGATCTTCCTCTCCTTTCCTTACAGCCATCGCGGGTATCTCAATCGCTGCTGGGCTTTCTGCCGCCTTGCTCCTGACGGTCACCTCGACTTCTTCACCGTCACTTTCATCGCGCTCTTCTTCTTCGCGTTCCATTGCCTCCATTGCCCTCGCTCTGATCTCCATGACTCTCTCATCGATTGCCCCCTCGAGTCTGTCACCAAGACTCGTCAGCTCAATTAAAGCATCGCACAGTTGTGACAGATTGGCCCTGCCTTCGATTTCTTCATCCACAGCTGTGGCATCGGTGTCCTGCTTGATCGTCTCTTTGACCTCGCCAATGAACTTGACAAAGTCCTTCACCTCGAGCAAGTCTTGCTCGTCGTTTCTTCCGGTAGCAATCCGTTGTATAGTGCGGGAGATGTCACCTCGAGAGATGCGTCGTCTGAAGAGAGTGCGGAGGTCTTCATGTAGAAAAGGCCTAGAGAGGAGGAGGGCAACGACGGAATGTCGGAAGGATATCACCGGGTGTGATGTCGACGGTGAGGCTGGTACGAGTAGGAGATGGTCAGCAATTGCATATACCGCCTGTGGTAGCACTATCCTCTATTGCCGTACTCACTGAGCCACTCAACAAGCAGCCTAGCTCCGCCTTTGCTGATCGTCCTTCTGACTGTACTGACAAGGCTGCCCCGTACACCGCCTTCGCGCGTGGCCTCTTTCACCTCGAGGGCATCAAGAGTGTTGCAGTCGATCATCATCGTCTCCGACGGCAGGTGATGTCGGATGAGCATCCCAGAGGCGATGAGATTGTCCATCTGCGCATTGCCAGTCTGGGCCGAGTCAGAGGAAAAGGCGATGAGCCGTTTGCGGAGATGCGAAGTGAGGTTGCGAATGGCGCGACGTTCTACAGGCTTGTAGGAGTGCGTTGCTTCAGCCTCGAGCGAGGACGCCTGTGCCGATGCTGTATCGCTGCTGGTGTCTGGGTCGACGTAGGACAGGAGTGTCCTGTCACCATCGAGCATCTGCCAGAACTGAGCTGCCTCATCGCCAACTTCAGTTCGCTGCCCTGGTGGTGTACCGGCTGCACTAGTCTGAGACAAGTCCAAGCCATCTTCTATCACGACCTCGGAAGGCGCGATCCTCTTGATCTCGTCCCTGAGAGACTCTACGTCTGAGCATTCCGAGACGTGTAGATCCGAGGTGCTGAGGTCGAGCCAGGCAAGACCAAAGCCAGTAGAGCCTTCCTGTGGGTCGGCGCTATCTTTGGTGATTTTCGGAAGAGAGGCTACGCTCAGTATGAAATTGTTCTTGAGTGGGTTCATCCATTTCTCATCGATGAGTGTGCCCGGGCTGACCACTCTTGTCACTCTCCTGGTGATCTCTACCTTCTCATTGAACTTCTCCTCGCCACTCGCGGCTCCCTTTGCGCTACTTTTGAGTGCATTGATCATCTTCCAATCTGCCGGACTCTCCCCCTCAACGCCCGATTCGTCTGAACGGAATTCTTCACAGATGGCGACGAGCCTGCGATTGTCCTCTACGAGGATTTTGAGGTATTTTTCTAGCTGTGAGATGGGAAAGCCGGCCATGGGTACTGGGCGGCCGCCCCATGTCCTAGAGGCGAGCTTGAGGGACAGGAGAATGGATAGTGGTGGTGCTTGGTCGAAGTAAGACTGTAGAAGAGGGGGGTTTGCTAGGCGCGAGGTGAGTGCATCTGAAGGGTTGGGCGCATTGTTGCTGAATGCTCACCTCGTAGAAGCCACCGACTCTGGTGAGCAAAAGACATCCTGGGAACCGTGCGAGGTTGGTGAGTACGTCTTTGGCAAGTGGCGGCCAGGCCTGACCCTGCGGTCCCAGCTCATCTATCCGGGGTATATCTACATCGCCCTGCCCGGGCTGCCGGCCTTGATCTGCATCTCGAGTCGGTGCCAAAGTGCCATCTGCCGTGGCTTCCGATGTCTTTGTACCTTGCGAGGCTTCGTCTGAGCTCTTGGGTACTTGAGGCTTCTTTCGCCTGACTGCTCTCTTCGAGGTGATGGGTACGAAAGGCTCGAGCGGCACAAATGGCTCGCCTGTGCTTCCAGAGGCGTGAGTGGGGAGATCCGCATAGGCCTTGGAGGAGCGACGTGGCCCACCTGTAGAGGCAGTGGAAGCCGACGTTGATGGCGAGACTGTTCTGGAGGTCCTCTTTCCCTTCTTCAGCGTCTTGGAATTGGCCTGGGTCGCCTCATTGCCGTAGTCGGTATGTTGCTCCAATTGCGTACGCTGATGGAGGTCCGTGCTGCTACACCTCGCCCACGAACTTGGCCGCCGAGGAGCTCTGATGGCCTGGGACAGGCATGGCCGGCACAAGCTGCTCCGTATGGGCAATGCAGACGACGATGCTGGAGCCGCAGCCACAGCACACCACACTCGATGTGCAGCACAAGGAGCCGCCATTGATCATCGGGGGTGAGTAGCGGCGGTGCGGGAAGGAACCATGGCCGCCGTCGGAAGGAGCGGAAGTGGGGAGCAGCAGCAGCAGCGCGTCTGAGCGACGGACTGGTACGGCGGCCAGGCAGCAACTCCTTCTTCTCCTTCTTGTTACCGCGGTCGTCGTCGTCGTCGTCGTGAGCATCAGCATATCCTCTCTCCGCCCCTCGTCCTCGTATACCGCCATGACGCAGTCTCCACTGGTCCACCTCACCGAGTCTGCGCCCAGTCCCCTCCCTGCAACGCCAGAGGGATACCTCGCAGGAGCAGACTACAGGGATCGGGTCCCCATCGTCATTGATCACGGTGAGCTACGGACTGCAGCTGACAGGCATGAGCTCTGACGGTAGAGATGCTGACACTTTCAGACCCGCTCCACGAACTCCTCTTCTTGTGTACCAGGCTCCTCTGAATTGCGGGCCGGCTTCGCTACTGCTGCCGTGTCTGTCTCTTCCTCCTCTTCCTCCTCCTCCTCGGCCTACTCTCGCTACTCTTCACCGCCCTCAATCCACTTCCCCCCCATTGTGTCAAAATACCGCGATCGGCGCAGGAATGCTCAGGTGCTTCTCGTAGGGCCACAAGCAAGCCTAGACACCGAGTCGCGGTCTAAGGCTCGTGGTCCCACAGAAGGAGGTCTCATCGTAGCCCAAGACGTACTGGAAAATGTCCTCGACTTCACCTTTAGCAAGCTGGGCATCTCCAGCCCCGAAGGCAGGGAAGGCAATGTTGACCATCCCATTGTCCTTAGCGAGCCTATGTGTAATCCCGGGTATTGCAGAGGACTCACTTCCGAGCTCTTGTTCGAGGCCTACGGTGTCCCCGAGGTATCATATGGACTAGACTCGCTCTTTGCAGCGTATGCCAATGACATTGGGCCTGAAGGAGTAATTGTCAGTAGCGGAACCTCTAGTACAACCATTGTACCCATGATTGGAGGCAGGGGCATTCTCGGCAATGCCAAGAGGTGAGCAACAATTGAGTTCAGGAGACAGTGGACCTCTCTTCATGCTGACTCCCTCTGTCCTACCCCTGTTCCAGAATGAATTGGGGCGGTTCCCAGGCTTCCGACTACCTCTTGCGTCTCCTCCAGCTCAAGTATCCCGCTTTCCCTGTTCGACTCAACGCCTCGCAGAGCTCCTCCCTCCTCGAGACGCCATCCCTTCTGTACTCGCACCCGCAGGACTATCACTCTCACATCGCCTCGCTCTCCGACCTCAGGAAGCTACAGTCTGAGGGACAGACCGTACAAATACCTTTTGTGGTTCCAGAGGGTAGCAAGCGAAATCAGCTCAGCGAGGAGGAGAGGCTGAAGAGGGAAGAGAGGAAAAAGGAGGCGGGAAAGAGACTACGCGACATGACTGAGAAGAACCGACTGCAGAAGCTTGGAGAGAAGGAGGAGCAACTCAGGAGGATCGCCGAGCTCAAAGATTGGAAGGGGAAAGAGCGCAAAGCTGAGTGGCAGGTGAGTATACGATGCTGTCGCACTGCTATCCTAAGAATGACCAAGCTCACATCATGCCTCATTTGCCGCGCCCACAGAAACGCTTGGAGAGCGCCGGCTACGACACTGAGCAAGACATGGAGAAGGAGGAGAAGAAGCTCTCGACCGCCGTCAAGCGTTCGCGAAGACGCGATCAGGTCGAAGACGACACAGCCTTGGAGCCAGAAGCACCTCCGACCTTCCCTTTGGTGGAAGTGCCAGATCACGAGCTCACAGAAGAGCAGATCAAGGAGAAGAGGAGGCAGAGGTTGATGAAGGCGGGCTATGACGCCAGGATGAGAGTCAAGGCTGAGAAGCTCGAGGAAAGGCGGATCGAGGCCGAACGGATTCAAGCAGATGAGGCGCGCAGAACGAATGATCCAGAGGGCTGGGCAGCGGAGAAGAGAAAAGAGTACGAGGTGAGTGTAGGAGCAGCACCTTGTGGTCGCGGACATACCTGACACGCTTTCAATCCATACAGGACGTCATCGAGCGCATGAAGGAGCGCAAACGCAAGAAGGAGCTTCTATCTGACCGCAAATCTCTCGCAGCCCAACAACGGATGAAAAACATTGCATCTCTAGCTTCTGACGGTCCGGGAGGCGACAGAGCATCCCCTCCCGGAGGCGGCTCCCGAAACGCCAAGAGGAAGCGGGCAGGGGCGAATGGAGCCGAGAAGGATGACGGCTTTGGACAGAACGACGAAGATTGGGCTATCTACAGAGATATTCAGGGAGCAGAGGACTCAGACGAGGAGGAGGAAGACGAAGACCTTCTCGTTGATCTCGAAGAGAACCTCTTGAAGTTTGATGCTGGCTTCACCAGGGACATGACCCTTGCGGCTAGGATTGCACGGAAGAGGGCGCTCACGAGGACGTTCCTCGGCGGCACACCGGAAGGCTACGAAGAGAAGCCTGTCAATCCTTTCAGCACCAAGAATGGTCAAAAGACGGACGAGCAGCCGGAAGAGGAGCTGGATGAGGAGGCGGAGCTGGCTCAGCTGGCCAAGCAACATCAAATCACGCTCAATGTCGAGCGGGCTAGAGTTGCGGAAGTCTTCTTCCAGCCCAGTCTGGCTGGGGTGGACCAGGCTGGGCTGGACGAGATCGTTGAGATGGTGGTGAAAGGCTTCCCGGAGGATGGCGGTGTGAGGGAAAGAATGGTCAGCGTGAGTCGCACCGTCGTCAGAGTCGGAGGCGCGCCTTTCCCACCCACTAACAGCCTCTCGCACTCTCTCCTCCTCGTGTCGCACAGAACATCTTCCTCACAGGTCGCCACACACTCTACCCCAACCTGGACACCCGCCTGCAGAATTCCCTTGTGGCACTCTTGCCCACAACGCCGTATGGATCTGCCGTGCGCGTTAGGAGGGCGAACGACCCGCGATTCGACGCTTGGAGGGGGACGGCGAGGTGGTGTTTAGAGCGCGGACAGGAGAGGAAGGAGGCTAGTGTGGTGAGTATGAAGTGGGGCAGCGAGGGAGACTGAGGAGCAGGCGCTGACATTAGACTTTCCTCTCGCCTTTCGTAGACCCGGGAGATGTATGACGAGTACGGGGCAGAGTACATCAAAGACCATCCTTTCGTGTCTGCGATGATCTAGGCACGGCGCTGGTCAATCGCATTGGAGTTGCACAGGCGCTCGCGAGGCCGTGATATACAAATGAAAATCACCCTGGCAAGGACGAGAAATGAAGTACAATTAACAGTCGCAAGCAAGCGACAGAGAGATATCCAGAGAGACTATGTATAAGAGGTGGAAGAAGGGGAAGAGCCAATACGATAACAATGCAAAGTTACATGACGAGGAGTGTGAGGATTGAAGAGCTGGAAAGGATGATTCCGCATGCAAAATGCAAGAGGGGAAAGGAAAGGTACAATGCTGAAGGGAAAGAGGAACTCGTCTAAGGGGAGACCAGGCTAGAAGAAGACGACGGTGTTGGGTACGTCCCACCCGCACTCTGCCAGTCCCTCCTTGACGGCGTGCTCCATCGCCGGAGGACCACAGACGAGGGCCAGCGTGTCCTCTAGCTCCTCATCGTCGCTCTCCCTCTTCTTTGGCGGGGGCGGGAGGTGCTTCTTCATCAAATCGACATTGATCCTTCCTCTACCCCCGTTCCAGTCGTCGGCCGTCTTGCCCGACAGGACATGCCAGATGTCAAAGCGTCTGCCCTGTTCCAGGAAGCGCTCCCGGAGGGCATCGATGTGCTCCTTTGCGAGAATGTCTGCCTCTGTACGGTTACCGTTTAGCATCCAGCACTCTGTCTCTTTGGACTCTTCACAGTCGATGAGACCCTTGATGGTGCTCCAGATGGGGGTAATACCGGATCCACCACAGATGAGGGCCATCTTGCGAACTTTTCGCTCCCTGCCCTTCCACCTCACCATTGACTTGCCCATGAAAGTGAAGCCACCGAGCGGACCCTTGAGTTCCAACTCATCGCCTACTTGCATCTTCTCGAGGACACTAGTCATTTTACCTCCCGTGGGGAAGTCCTTGGTGGGCATATACACCTTGATGAGAATGTCGATGGCACCGATGAGGGAATTGTCAGAGAAGGGAGTGTAGGCACGCTGGATTACCTCTTCACTGCCTTCAGGCTTCACACGCATGTACACGTGCTGACCCGTGGGCATACCCAGCTCCTGCTCTGGGTAGTCCAGACCAAAGCGTAGGATACGCGAATCGTGGGAGATTTCTGTCCTGCTGATGAGCTTGCTCTTCTTCCATTGCTTGGGATTGAGGTACACCTTGGACGGCTCTGCGCCCTCCACGACGTCGGCAGCACCCTCCAGAGCGCCTTCTGCGAGCTTGCCGACGTGGAACTCGGACAGTTGGCGCTTGGCGTCCATCGAGTGGATGGCCATAAAGTCTTCACTGGCATCTTCTCCAGCCACGAGTGTGATCGACTCGCCACCACCTGGGTGCAGCTTGAGGAAGGGCGTGCCGTCATAGACGTGACCATTGACGATGAACCAGGGCGTGTCTTCGTTGGCATGCTCCTTGAGCATCTCGGCAGTGATGATGATGTCCTTCTTCTCGTCCTTCATCATCATAGCCTGCACGTCCACCTTTTCCTTCTTGGGTTTGTCGGCAGTGTTCGCTGCAGCAGCCGCGGCCTCGTTGAAGATGGGGTGGCGGGGGTCTCCTCCCTCCTCATTGACCCTGCCCATCCATCCACCAGTGGCATTACCAGCCAGGGTGGGGTGCTCGAACCTCAGCTTGCCATTCTCGTTGTGGATACCGACACGGAAGTGACAATTGTTCATCATACCGTAAGCATTCCAGATCAGACGGTCGGGCATGGCATGTAGTGACTCGTCGGTGGCACGCAGGGAGAGGCAGCTAGCAGGAGAGTCTCTGAGACGGGAGACCTTGATCTCGTGCTCCCAGAAGCACCACGAGAAGGACATTTCCGTCTCGCTGAGGTCGAGGGTGCCGTAGAAGGGGTGCTTCTTTAGTGGCATCTCGCGGTACTTGTCTTCGGGATAGATGAGCTTGGCTGGGTACTCCCAAGTTGCACCGTCGTCCAATGACAGCTCCACTCGGTGAACACGGCGACCACCGCCAGTATATGCGTATCCACAGATCTTTGTCATGGCAGTGTCGTCCTCTCCCTCAGCTGGAAGAGGTATTGTCGTATCGTGATTTGGGACAGTAATGGAGGCGTTTGTGTTGAGCTCGTTGATGATATACTTTGGATCTGTCCACCAGTGCTCTCCTTCCTCAGAACGAGCCTCATCCGCAGACACCGAGGCGGGTAGCACCTTGTTGTCCTTGAAGTGCAGGTAGGCTTGCGACTCTTTATCGCTCACTTCGATGGTCTCTAGCCACTTGACCATCCTACCTCCAATTTGTCCAGGCACGACTAGTCTCAGCGGATAGCCGTGGTCCGGCGAGAGGAGTTCACCATTGAGACCCCACGCGAGGAGCATAGACTTGCTCCTGTCGCGTGCCCAAAGCAGACGTTGAGAGGTGCCGTACTTGCCCTTTGGCAGTTCGTCCGCGCCCTCAAAGGACACATGGCGTGCTCGACCTGGCACGTCGCGGTCGTAGGGGAAAGCGCCGATGGGCCGAATGGGCTTGCAGTAGTCGAGGACGTCGGCTAGGTAGACACCGGTGAAGATACCGTTGGAGACTCCTGCCGAGCCCCAATTGAATCCCAGACCCTTGGCGACCATGTTCTGCTCTTTACGTCGGTTTCCGGCGCACACCAATGTGATGGGCACCGACACGGTGGGGAAGAGACGCTTCAGGTCATCGATGGTGAATTCCATCGGCCTCTTGACAAGACCTGTGACTTTCACCTTCCATTCTTTAGCCTCTTGTGCTGTGACGTGAGGAGTAGCACCGTGGGTACGGACGTAGAAGAGCGGCTGCGGTGTGAGCCAACCGGCATTCCAGAGGTCGGCGAGGGGAGCTTCGCAGTTGTATGGGTGCTTGCCGGTGAGGCGGACCATGCGCTCATCACGGGGCACCCAAGCATCGGGTGTACCGGCGTCGATTGGGAGAGGCTCGACTTTGAGCTCCTCGGGCAGAGGAGGGAAGTCCTTGTGGTACTCTGTCACGTATTCTTCCTCCTCGTCGGATGTGGGGTCCGTCGAGTCTGAAGCGCTGGAGTCACCGCCTGCTTCTGAACGAGTCTTTTCCACCGCAGGAGATGAGCCGGACTCTGGTGTGGTAGCGCCACCAGAGGAGGTACTGCCGGACTCGCGCTCCTCTGCAGAGGAGGTGGGTGATGTGGCGCGGGTGGATGGGAGTGGGGAAGTGGAAGGGGCCATCTTGTGCACTACGTCGATGGTCGAGTGTATTCGAGAGGGAAAGGTGGGTCCTTCGAGAAGCTTGAGTAGGTGGTCGTAGCAGCCTCAAGCTGAGTGTCCTGCGACACCTTCCTCGGCGAAGGAAGGTCGGAGACTCCCGTCAGAGACGAATTTGCGACTGCCACGGATGAGACAGTGGCAAGTCAAGGCAGTCAAAATCCCGACGATGACTTTTCAGTGAGAATTTGACTGCTCCGTAGACTTGATTCGAGGTCGGTAGGCAGCTGGTGTGTGTGGTGAGTGGTAGGTCAATGGGAGGAAGACACTGTGGCACAGCTAACGAAGTCTTGGCCAGGTGGAAGTGAGCACGCTCGAGGGTGCTCCGAAGGCGGGGTGGAGAAAGGGGTCCTAGGTGGTAGCAGCGGTGAGGGAGCGTGGGCAGCGACAGGGTCAGAGCAGGTCAGATCGGGAGGGTGCAATGGGAACGTCCGGACGCCCTGGAGCTTCCCTTGCTGCGCTGCGATCACCCTGCTTCGACTGATTTCACTTGGTGCTTCGGGTTCGCTTGCTCCGATTTGTCAGTGTGGGGCTGCCTGGCAGCGGCACGTTTGTCTCTGATGCCCCGGTTCTCTGCATTTGCCACTATCGTCGCCAGGACTGGACAAGCAAAGACGATCGCTGCAAGAAGTGGCCACATCCCGGTGAGGGTGAGGCTCCAGAAAATCCCGCGAGAGCGGAGCGCCACGGGATTCTTCAATTTAGAGATAAGAGTGCAGCCAGCCGGGTCAAGGCGGCCTGCGCGCGCGGCTAATGCTTGGCCCGGACCAGCCGATCGATATCGCCCGCCAGGCACCGGGTTGAAGCTCCGACCGAAGCCAGATCGCACCCGCCCAAGGTGCTTGGCGAAAGCGTGAGTCAACATTGACCGTAAGGCACAAGGAACTCTGATACGAGAGCAAAAGACGGCTTCGCCTAAGAAAAGCCAGTGGGAAGGTGTGGCAAATGGATCGGAGTTCAAGCGTGGGGAAGTTGCAACAAAGTTGTAATCCAAGGCACGTCCAGAGGCGCGACGAGTGGCACGACCGGAGGGCACAATCAGAGGCACAAGATCAAAGGGAGCTTCAGGGGCATGTCTAGCAGGCGAGTCGGCACAGAATTCACAAGATCACAGTCACAGCGATCAGCCATGCAGGCAGCAGCAGTGAAGACGGATCTACGAGGATAAATTTCGAGCCCAAAACGGAAAAACCAAGATTCTGAAGTGACAAAATTCTCAGGAAGCGTCTCCCAGAGGTACCCACGAGAAGACCAGGATGGTGGCAATGTTGAAGATGCCGGCAATCCAGAACTTGTTGCCCAAAGTCCTCGTCGGCTTCGTTCCAGGGTGAGTTTTGAAGATTGCAGTGAACAAAAGACCTCCAACGTTGCTAAAATTGGCCGATAGAAACGCGTTTAAAAGTATATACGATGATAGAGGAGGTCGAGAGGAAGGTGTACGAAGTTGAATGAGGAAAAACGGAGGAGTATTGGTGGAGAAAGAGGGGATGACGTGTCAGTACGGTGCGCGTGTCGATATGTCGCGCGTGTCGCGCGTGTCGATTCGAGGTCAGCCATTACTCACCCCTAGTGTACCGAACGAGCGACAAAGGGTGAAGGTTGGACGGGAAGCAATGAGAAGGGAGGGAAAGGAGAGGAAGGAGGCAAAGAGGCAAATGCGCGTCAGTACTGTACGGGTCGAAAAGCAATCGTGTCCACAGGGGTCAAGAAAAGGATCCACTCACTCCTGCGCCTACAAGACCAGCGACGAATCCGATGTTCTGAGGTCGAAGGTGACCATAGACGGAGTATGCTCCTGCGTTGGCCATGAAGCCAGTGATGGCCATGGCAACGAGGAAGCCGATGACACCGCCAAGAGAGACGCCGGTGCTGTTGGTGTAGAGGCCGAGACCGACGAGCATCAGTCCTTGGAGGACGTTGCAAACAAGGGTGAAGACTACCTTGGCACGCAGACCGTAGCCCATAGGCTTGAACTTCCTGTACAGCAGGTCAGCAATGATACCTCCGAGGGGTCGGAAGAACAAATTGAGCAGACCATAGGTGGAGGAGACGTAGGCAGCATCAGCAGCGGAGAAGGTGGGGCTTGCGAAGAGGGCATAGATGAGCTGGGGCAGAGCAGCGTCGAGGGCAGTCTCGGCTCCAAAGGACATCATGTAGGAGATGGCAATCATCCAAACGCGCAGATCGAGCAGGACTTTGCCTGCAGTCTTGAGAGTGAGGGGCTCAGACACAGCGGTGTCAACGAGATCGTAGGTCTGGCCGTCCTTGACATCGGAGAAGTCCGAGGCCTTTGCAGGTGCCTTTGAAGTGACCATCTTTTCGTTGGAGCCGAGCTCGCCTGCATTTTGAGTGCGAAGACGTTCCTGCTCGCGGATCTCGGATGCGTCGAGGTGCACCTCACGGCCGTGGGCGACTTCGTACGCCGTTCCAGCGAGCTGGTGTCGGTTGGACCACTTGCCGGTGGGGTGGTCCTTGCCGAGGATCATGATAGCGGCTACGGTGCAGATGATCATGGGAACAGGAAGAATGACGAAGCACAAACGCCAAGCCAGGTGCGAAGTGTATCCATCATCGCGGAGCCTGTCATAGAGACCGATCATGACAGAGGGAACGACACCACCTCCCAGGTTACCCCAACCACCGGAAAAGGCGTTGGCAGTACCGATGATGTTCTTGTCGAAGAAGGTTGTGGTCCAAGCCTGGCAAGGCACAAAGGTACCACCCAGGATGGAGATGAAGAATCGAATCGTCTCCAGACCACCGATGTTTGAGACAGTGGGCATCAGTGCCGTCGGGATCATACCGATGGTGAGAAGCGCGGACATGACCTTGCGGGGACCGTAGCGGTCCACAAAGTAGCCTGAGAAGACTCGCACAATAGCTGTACCACCGAGAGAGGCCAAGTTGCTGTTGGCGACTTGGTCGGTAGTCAACTTGAGGTCTGCCTTGATGGCTTCAGTCATGAGAGCGGCAGCTGCGAACCAACCGAAGAAGGCAACGAAGAAACCAAGGGTAGCCAGCCAGAAGGCAGTGGCATAGGGGTCCCAGAAGCGCAGGATGTTGAACGTATGAGATTTGCCATTGATGGGGTTCACAACGGCAGGCTTGTAGAGCGAAGACCACTTGAAGGGGTAAAGTCCAGCCTGAGCCTGCTTCTGGCTGTCAGAAACGTAGGCACCCACGGTGGCTTCACCAGTGGTACCGCGCGGCTGTCCAGGCTGCTCATGCTCTTGCGAAGAGAGAGAACCCGACTTCTCGTTCTGGGGTCGGATGTCGTCATTGCCGGCATATGCCGGTGCGGCAGTGTTGTTCGGAGAGGCAGACATACTAAAGTATAAGCAACTGGGTATAGGTAGGTTGGCGAGAGATCAGGCCCAGCGGAGGAGGGTATGTCTTCCTGTCTTCGCTCGTATGTCGAAGAGTCTTGACTTGGAGAGGAGCGAGAGTTGCGAAAAAGAGGGGATGGTGGGAAAGACAGGTACAAGTTACGAAGAGGTTAAAAAGCCTAATGGTCGGGAAGGTAAGCCACACCAGCTGGTGAGATTAGGAACACACTTATCGATCCTTTCTTCACTCTGCCGAGACGATATGTGCCGGGCTGGGTTACGTCGGACTCGGTTGCACTGGACCTTCTTACGACCTCCGATTCCTTCTCGGCCTTTGGGTGCGCATCGATGTGAAAAGCAATGGCACGGTCTACTGCAAGGGCGTTTGTACTGCGTCAGTCCCTGCATCCCACCCACCCACCTTACATCCGCTGCTCTTTTTCCGTCAATCACCGGCGACACCGGCGATGCGGGGCTCGCCATCACGCAGCAATTCATGGACACCACGATCAATTGTTCTCTGGCCCCACTGTCATCGCACCGAGAACGCGAGTCCAAAGTCTTCAGCTGCAGCAAGCTCTCATAGTCGGAGGTGAGGCCAAGTGGCGGCAGCAGAGACACCATGTAGACGGCTCCAGGGCGGGTCCAGGCCGGTAAAGGTGGCAAGGTCTGAGGTGCGCTGACGCCAAAAAAAGAGATAAGAATTCACAATTCCGGAGGCTTTATTTGAGACTCCGCCTCTCAGCGATCGAAGTCGAGATAAGGAGACGCTGAGGGCGTCTGAGTTTTCTGCGCGGGCCAAGGATGGGAGATAAGCAAGCGAGGGCACTTCAGGACGCGGCCATCGTGGATCGCGGAGCAAAAGGGGCCGGAACTCTCTCGTCTGCAGATTCCGGCCGGGGCGGGGTGGGGGGAATTCGGGGCAATGCACACAAGCCGTTGATTTCAAACGTCTCGAGTCGCACGGCCAACTCTAGCGATAACGAAGACCTCGCGCAGAGGCCGGGTTGACAATGGAGGCAAGGCCCGGATGCCAAGGCGACAATGGCGTCGCGGGACTGGGTTGAGGGCAGACCGGTGAAGCTGATCTGAGGGGCAAGGGATGCTAGTCGTTTCTCATCAATCCTTCCTGATCACGATTACCCTACCTGCTGATTCAACCGGACTCCTTTTGAGCAGCAGCGGCTTTGCTTCATCCCTCTTTCTGCTAGCTCTGTAGCTTGAACATCTCACGTCTGCTCTAGCTCTCTTTACAGCTAGCTAACGCCACAAGCAGCTTACCAAGACCCACCAAGTACTAAAGACATGGCGCCTGTGGCAACGGGAGATTCCGCCATGCGTGGCACGGAGCCGGCAGAGGCCAGCGGCAGCAACAGCAATGGAAAGTACTCCAAGAAGTGTGTCATCGTAGGCTTCGGTATGGTGGGTGTAGCCTTCGTTGAGAAGCTCCTCAAGTACGACATGGACGGAGGCAGAGACGAATGGGAGGTGACAGTGTGAGTAGCCAAAGCATGCACCGCACCTGCACCTTACAACTGCAGTTCATTGACCTTGATCACCACTACCATCTCCCTCACAGTATCGGCGAGGAGCCGCACGTAGCTTACAACAGAGTCGGTCTGACAACATACTTCGAGCAACGGTCGGTGGAAGCACTGTACCTCAATCCTCTAGATTGGTACAAGTCGCACGCCCCGGGGAAGCTCACATACCATACGTCGGACCAGGTTCTCTCGATCCAAGCAGACAAGAAGCAAATCTTGACATCAAAGGGTCTCTCCATTGACTATGACGTCTGTGTCATTGCCACCGGGTCCGATGCCGCACTCCCCCCTTACGTCTCGAAGGAGCGATTTTACAAGACAGAGGGAGCTTTCGTCTACCGCAACCTGGCAGACTTGGACTCGATGATCGCATACAGCAAGAAGCACAAGATTCGTCGTGCCGCCGTCGTAGGCGGTGGTCTTCTGGGTCTGGAGGCCGGCAAGGCGCTGCTGGATCTCGAAACGGTTGACCAAGCCGTCATCGTAGAGAGGAACAATTGGTGCTTGTCGCGCCAGCTCGACTCCGAGGCAGGTAACCTTGTTCTCGAAAAGGTGCGGGCCCTGGGTGTCGAGGTGTTGCTACGAGCTCGAGTCCGTGACCTCATGATCACGCCCGCAGCGGAAGACGAAGAGGGCAAGGACCGATTGAAGGGTATCATGCTTGAGGGCGGCAATGATCCTGATAAGCCTTACGACCTCGACATGATCGTCTTCGCCGTCGGCATTAAGCCGCGAGATGAGCTCGCCAAGTCTTCCGGCCTGAACACAGCACCTCGTGGTGGCTTTGCCATCGATGACAAGCTTTCTACGAACAAGAAGGACATTTATGCCATTGGAGAGGCAGCCAGCTTCAATGGGGAGACATGGGGCCTCATCGCGCCCGGAGTCGAGATGGCCGATGTTCTTGCCTTCAATCTGACCGAGGGTCCTCACCACGCCATGAGGTCCATGACCCCTCCCGACCTCTCGACCAAGCTGAAGTTGATGGGTGTCGATGTAGCCAGTTTCGGAGACTTCTTCGCAGACCAAGGTGTCTTCAACCGACCCATCCCCGGCAGCAAGCGAGGTCAAAAGCGGGGCGATGGAGACGAAAAGCCCAAGGTCAAGGCTCTCACATATCGGGACCCATTTGAAGACCACTACAAAAAGTATATCTTCACCGCTGACGGCAAGTACCTACTTGGTGGTATGATGGTTGGTGACGTCAAGGACTATGTCAAGCTCGTTGGGATGTGCAACAAGCAGAAGCTCCTGGAAACGCCACCCTCGCAGCTCATCCTGGGTGCCAAGAAGGAGGGCGAAGAAGAGGGCGATGACCTCGACGATGACGCTCAGATCTGTTCTTGCCACAACACCAGCAAGGGCCACATTGTCGAGAAGGTCAAGGGCGGATGCCGTTCCTTCGGAGAGATCAAGTCCACAACAAAGTGTGGCACGGGCTGTGGAGGTTGTATCCCCCTCGCTACTTCCATCTTCAACAAGGCTATGAAGGATGCCGGAGCAGAGGTGTCTAATGCTCTTTGCCCGCACTTCAAGCAGACTCGACCAGACCTCTTCACGATCGTCAAGTTCAAGAAGCTCAAGACGTTCCCAGAGGTGATGAAGGCAGTAGGAACCAAGCCAGACAGTTTGGGATGCGAAGTGTGCAAGCCAGCGGTCGGGTCTATCCTGTCCAGCCTTTACAACGAGTGGATCATGGCACCCCAGATGCGACAGACCCAAGACACCAACGATCGATACATGGCCAACTTGCAGCGTGATGGCTCTTACTCTGTCGTGCCGCGTCTGGTGGCGGGAGAAGTGACCCCACATCAGCTCCAGGTTCTAGGAGAAGTCGCCACTGAGTTTGGTCTCTACTCCAAGATCACTGGTGGACAGCGTATCGACCTCTTTGGAGCCAAGAAGCAGGATCTGCCCAGCATCTGGGAGCGACTCATTGCAGCTGGCTTCCAGACCGGACAGGCATATGGCAAATCGTTGCGAACCGTCAAGTCCTGTGTCGGATCCACCTGGTGCCGTTACGGTATTGGAGACTCGGTCGCTCTCGCCGTCGAGCTCGAGGAGCGCTACAAGGGTATCCGAGCTCCTCACAAGTTCAAAGGAGGTGTTTCTGGATGTGTCCGAGAGTGTGCCGAGGCGCAAAGCAAGGACTTTGGTATGATTGCCACCACAAAGGGCTGGAACGTCTTCATCGGTGGCAACGGTGGTGCCAAGCCTCGCCACGCCGAGTTGCTTGCCGAAGATGTCACCAAAGCCCAAGCCATCCGCTACATTGATCGATTCATCGTCCTCTACTCCCGATCCGCTGACAAGCTCACTCGAACTGCGAGATGGATTGAAGGCTACCCCGGCGGTATCAAGGAGTTGCGAGAGGTACTTGTCAAGGACAAGCTCGGTATCTGCCAGGAGCTCGAGGAGGAGATGGACCAGCTCGTAGGTACTTTCCACTGTGAATGGACGGAGCTGCTCAATGACCCTAGGAGGAAGAAGGTCTTTAGGCAATTCATCAACACCGATGAGACGCAAGAGCACTCTGAGCGAGTCGTTCAGCGATCGCAGCACCGTCCGGCCGACTGGCCGACCGAGGCAACGGCGCTCAAGTTCGACGTCAAGGACATTGCGCAGACTGCCAAGTGGGAGTGGCGCAAGGTTTGCAAGTACGTTGACCTGGACCCACAGGAGTCTTCTACTACCAGTGCCGTCGTCAAGTACGGTGACACTCAGCTTGCCGTCTTCTCTGTGCCCGGCCGCGGTCTTCGAGCTTCGCAGAACATGTGCCCCCACCGTCGTGCCTTTGTCCTATCGGACGGTCTGGTAGGCGAGGACGCCCAGGGACGCGACTACGTCTCCTGCCCGCTGCACAAGCGGAACTATACCCTCAGCCACCGCGTCGAGGAGGAGGGAGGTCACTGCAACGACCCCGACTACCAGATCATGACCTTTGAGGCCAAGGTCGATGAGGACGGAGACGTTGTGCTGATGCTGCCCGACACGGATGCCCTCGACGCCGTCTTGGCCACGCAGAAGTGGATGTTGAGGAAGGCAAAGGAGGAGAGCGACCTCCTCAGCAAGGACGGAAAGGGCAGTGGCATCGAGATTGAGGCCCCCAAGAAGACCGTCGACGCTGAGGCAAAGAATGCCGAGAGGGCAAAGAAGGGTCTTGAGGAGCTCAATGAGGACGAAAAGAAGGCCAGCTGTGGCGAGACCAGTCTTGACTGGTGAGGTGAATAGAAGCTAGGGATTCTGTTCTGTCGTGTCGAATCGCACTTGTCGTTCATCCTGTTGTTACCTCGGATTCTCTCACATTTGCATATATAAACGTTTTGCGAAGTATCGTTGGTGTGCGACATGACGACGCTCCCCCTTCCGTTCCGGCGTGTTCGATGGGAGGCACTCCACTCCGCCAGCGCCTGAGTACGGTCTGTCCCCCTGTCACTGCCTACTCACTGCTACTATACCGGCCAAGATCCTCCTCATCGCCTCTGCCCCTCGGTCCCCTCGTTCTCATCGATGGACTCGCCTTCGTCCCCTGCGCCGTCTACGACCGGGTCCACCACAGCGTCGCCCTCTGCCGCTGATGCCGCGGCACGGCGAGAGGCGCGGAAGGCTCGCATCCTAGGGAAGGGTACCGATCGTCTAGCCAAGCTCACAAAGCAAGCCAGGGGAGACCAGGCAGAGGAGCTCTACCCTTCAACGCCGCCTCGTACCGTTCCGACCGGTACCGCAGGCACATCTAGCGCTTCTACACCAGCCGCTGGGACCCCGGGCGCAGTCAGGAGTGATGACGATGATCCTGAAGAAATAGACATCTCTAACCAGGCGAGAATGGACGAAGAGCTCGCCCGCGGAATGGAGCTCTTCCGAGCTCGTCAGCAACAGGAGCAGATGCAACAACAACAGCAAGGAAGACAGCAAGACCCAATGCAGATGATGATGAACGCCATGATGGGCGGTATGGGCGGGCCAGATGGGGCAGGCGCAGGCGCATCAGGCATGCCCGACCTCTCACAACTCTTCGCCGCTATCAATGGTACGGGCTCCAACATGCCCCCTCAGCTCGACGCAGATGGCAGACCTCTTCCATCCGCTCAAGGATTCCCGCCGGGTCCCTTCGGCCAGCAGATGCCGGCGGGTGAGATGGGAGGACTCCCGACGAAACCTCCCTCATTTGCGTCGCTCCTCCTGAGCCGGCTGCTATCGTTGCTACACCCGCTTGTCCTCCTCTTCCTCGCATACTTTACTCTCTCATCTGCCTTTGGGTCTTCGCAAGCCGATGAGAGTCTAATAGCTCAAGGCCTCCCTGCAGAGAATCTTGCACCTGGTGTGCTGAGCGATGGGCACGGTTCGGGTGTAATGGGTCAGATGAGGCTCTTCAAGTGGGCCAGCTTGGGCTACTTCAGGCCGAGCGTTACAGATGCCCCCTGGTACGAAGTGGACGGCAGCTGGCTAGGTAGACAGGGCAGCCTTGTGAGTGGGTTGTGCCTGCCCGCTCCCTCACCCAAATCTCTATGTCTCCTTGCGCCGTGCATGTACTGACGCTCTTTTGCTGGCTCCCTCTCCATTCCCCACTCACAGCCCATCTTCTACTCCGTTCTCTTCCTCTCCCTCACAACTCACCTCTCTCACCTCCTCCTGGCCCCACCCAAACCCGTCGCTCCCTCCCTCATCTTCTCCATTGCCTCCTCCCTGCCCATACCGGCACTAAGGCTAGCGCTGCGCCTCTTCAGCCAGTACGCGGGCGTGGTGGCCAAGATCGTCGATGATGTCGCATTGCTGATCTTTGCGCTGGGTGTGGGAGTGCTGTACAGTGTATGGGCTGCGGGAGGGAGTGCGGCCCCAGTAGAGACATCTGGCGGGGGATAAAGTTCAGACGCTTGGTAAAGGAGCACTTCTAGACTTTCCTTGTCACAGTTGTCCAATGCAACGTACATCCGAACGTCAGCAGACATACACTTCACACGCGAGACCCCTTGCGAGTACGAGCATTCCGGATTGAGCAGGAAGTGTCTTGCATTGCGTGCATACGAAATGAGAGCCACACATAGCAAGGGGAGACGGGGGGAAAAGCAAAGAGGGTGCGCTGCTTACAAGGCCCACACTTTGACGACGCAGTCTTTCCCACCTGTGACCGCATACCGATCCATATACCGCAGGCGCTCTGCAGGCTTGGTATGGCCATTGATGCTCAGTGTGGAGTGCTGCAGTGTCGTCCGATTGAAGACCTTGATTCCGCTCTCCCCCGTAGCCGCCACAATCTTCCGGCTATCGAATTGCAGATCGCTGATAGGATAATCGTACCTAATCGTTTCGCTGATCGTCCCGGTGCGCAGATCCCAGATGCGCACACTTCTGTCCAGCGATCCACTGATCACATACTGCTCATCAAATTGGAGCGTTGTGACGGGCGAGGTGTGTCCCAGGAGCGTGCGGTGGGACTGGCCGGTCCTCATATCCCACATTCGCACCGCTCCGTCTGCCGAGCCGGAAGCCAGAGCGTATCCCCAAAATTGAATGGCCGACGAGCCGACAAAGTCCGTGTAGAGCTCCCAAGAGCCGTCCGAGAGGGGTGGAGTGGGGAAGGAGAAGTTGCCCGACCAGTCGGAGATGTGTGAGGAGGAGAGGCCGGTGTGCAGGCCAGGCCGACGCGGAGAGCCCATGCTGTGAGAATGGGAGTGAGAGTGCGAAGAGTTCATGAAGCCAGAAGAGGACATGGAGGAGAAGTCTGGTGATGGAGGGGAGCTCGAACCGAGGGCTTGCGAAGCCGTGGGATTGGAGATGGCCCAGAGGATGTCCATGGTGAGCACACATTGGCCTGTGTTGAGGTCCCACTGACGAAGGGTCTTATCGTTGGCACCTGTCACCAGACAGGTGTCGTCAAAGTAGAGAGCCGTCACCGCCTTGCTATGGCCCTCCAGCGTCTTGAGCTTCGGATCGCTCTCGTCTCGAACTTCTGCGACTGCCTCCTCCGTGAGGTCCCCCTGCCGCAGAGCAGCTTGGCTTATCGCACCGTCCTCATCAACCTTTTGCAATGCCGAAGCTTCTTGGGGCAGCGCAGGACTCCACTGGCCATTGGCCTTCATCTCCAGTCTCGTCTCCCAGTCTTCCACTTTGCGCAGGTCCCAAATCTTGACCTTGGCATCACTTCCGCCAGTGATACACAACTCGTCCTCAACCTGGAGAGCTTTTACTACCGCATCGTGGCGCAGGCGACCGACCTCCCCGCCGGAAGAGAGATCCCAGACCCGAGTTGTAGAGTCTTGCTCGCCTCCCGCTGTCACTAGCGCACCATACGGCTCAGAGAAGTCAAGAGCCGTGATAGGAGCGATATGTCCGGCCAGAGTCTGTGAAAGGGATGAAGAAGCATTGTCAGCTCTGGCATTCCGCCAACATCGGCGTTCTCAGCGCTAGGCTACTCACCATGAAGGCCACATTATTTGGCAGTTCATCATGTTCACTCGGCAGGAACATGGGACCCTTCCTTCTCCTCGAGGTTGTACCTTGTTGTCCGCTTCCTTCACCTCCGTGTCTGCTTCCGCCCTTGTGCGACGGGGCCCCGCTCTGCCCAGCAGCACCGGGCATAAGCTTGCGATGCCGCTGTAGACTGATTAGTTCCATGATACCGGCCTGCTCGTCTTCGAGCTCCAATTCCTCCTCTTTGAGAGCAGTGAGGGATCTCGCCAGGCCGTCTTTGACATTCTGCAGGGATGCCATCTTGAGATCCACTGCAGCCATTTCATCCTGAAGCAGCCTCCTGCGCACCTCAATGTCTTCCTTCTCCCTCTTGACCTCTCCATCCTGCCTATTCAGATCATCCTCAGACAAAGGTATGTCTTTAGCCTTGGCCCGGATGCTTCGCCTCTCTCTCCGCTGCTGTCCAGTAGGCGAAGGAGGCGAATCGAGACCATCGATACTCTCATCGGCAGCGTGAGCAGCGTCGGCAGTCAAGAGGCCTCTAGCCTTGTCTCCCATGCTCTTCAAGCCCAGCTTCGGTCCTTCCCTTGCTCTTTCTTTCCTCCGCCGCTCTCTGCCTTGTAAAGCAGTGGGGATGGTAGCCTCGAATCCTCTGAGCAGGCTGACCTGGTTCAGATTGTTCGCACCACTGCCGCTGCCAGCCGCCGAGGGCCCGCCTCTGAGGGACATCATGGCCAGTTTCTCTTCGTGCTCAGCGTATCCTGCGCTCATGCTTAGAGCCGCATCTGCCAGGATCTGATGACTGCTCTCCAGAGCGATGAGGTCGTTACTCGTAACCGGTCCGTGCCTGACTGCCTTGCCGATTCTGACAAAGTTGCGGGCGGGCTGAGTGAAGGAGAAGCCCGAACCACCTCTGATGCTCAGCGGGATGGGCAGGAAGCCCACAAGCGCATTGGAGGTGACGGCCGAGGTGACCGAGTGGGAGGCATTGGTAGCAGCGGAGAGGATGCGTGGCTTCATGATATGCGGTGCCAGGTCGGCTAGCAGGCGAGTGGATTCGGCCTGGGCGCCCGCTAGGCTGTGAGCTGAAGACAATCCCTGGGAGACGGCAGTAGAGAAGGGAGCGAGGTACTCTCCGATGGAATTGGTGGTGTAGGCTGCATACGAGGAAGAGTGGTGCGAGGTGGACGTCGTGGGAGTAGCTGTGCCGCTGCTGCCGCTGGGAGCTCCACCGGGGGCGCCTGCACCTCCGTGGCTTGTCTCGCGGCCGCGTCTCCAGGCCATGGTCGAGGTGCCTGTGTGCTGCGGGTAGATGGAGACGAGGAAGTCCACAGGAAGACCAAAGGTGTGGGCGGGCGGTAGCGGTGGACGGGAAGCCGGTAGCGGGTAGAAGCGGTGTGGGAGTGAGTGAGTGTGGGAGCGTGAGCGGGTGGCTGCCCCGCGCGCGGGTCCAGTGCCGTTCCGGTCGTGCGAGTGGTGGCCCTGTCGCGGGCTGCCGCGGGCCAACTGCTTTGGTGCAGGGCGGTAGCTAAGCCGAACGTCTCACTCAGCTGGCCATACCAACTCACCATCACCACGCCCACCCCACTCCACCTTCTCACACCCGCACACCACCTCGCTCACGTCCCCTCGTACTCCTCTTCAGCCCTCACCTCCGTAGTCATGGCTGGTGTACAGGCTCTGAACAGGTTCGCCATCCCTCTGGGCGCCGCCTTTGTGGCTTTGCAAGCCTCCATCTACGATGTAAAGGGTGGCCAACGAGCAGTCATCTTCGACCGCTTCTCTGGTGTTTCTCCGACCGCAGTGCAAGAGGGTACCCACTTCTTGATCCCCTTTGTGCAGCGCGCCATTAACTTCGACGTGCGCATCAGACCACACATCATCAGCTCCACCACTGGCTCAAAGGACCTGCAGCAGGTCTCCCTCTCCCTGCGTACTCTCGCCAGGCCAGACGTCAGGCAGCTGCCCAAGATCTACTCGAGCTTGGGAACCGACTACATTGAGAGGGTCATGCCTTCCATCTGCAACGAGGTGCTAAAGGCAGTCGTAGCCTCCTTCGACGCTCAGGAGCTCATCACACAGGTCAGTACACTAGCTCGCATTATATCCCCAGTCTCCCGCCCGAATCGTTCTTGTACTGCCTTACTGACAGATTTGTTTACTCTTCTGTCCCGCTCTGTAGCGAGAGATTGTTTCTGCCAGGATCAGGGAGGACCTTCTGCAGCGAGCTGGGCAATTCGGCATCGTCCTGGAGGACGTTTCCTTGGTGAGTACTTGTACCACACAAATGTCATCTGCGTCCTCGCTGACCCCGCTCATCTCACCATGCCCCGAAATCTGCTTGCCTTCCTCTTCACTACGTTACAGACCCATCTGGAATTCGGCAAGGCGTTCCGCGAGGCAGTCGAGTCCAAGGTCGTGCAAGCCCAGACGGCCGAGAAGGCCAAGTTCCTGGTAGAGCAGGCAGAGCAGGAGCGTCAGGCTTCCGTGATTCGGTCTGAAGGAGAAGCCGAAGCCGCCGCTGTCATCTCCAAGGCTCTGGAAAAGGCTGGAGATGGACTGCTGACAATCAGGAGAATTGAGGCGTCGAGGGATATTGCAAACACTTTGAGTGGGTCGCGCAACGTTGCTTGGTTGCCGAGTGGGGGGTCGAACATCCTGTGAGTAGCAAGGAGGCGGTCGAGGGTCGCACCGGAGAAGCGATGGGACCGATATACTGACCCTTTCGATCCATCCCCCCACTCTTTAGGCTGAACATGCAAGGACAGTAAAAAACAGGGCAAAGTAATGACATCCTGCACAGACCAAGCAGAGGGATCAAGGGGGAAAGCAGAAGCATCCAACACAACCAAACACATTGTACCTTCGTAGCTCCTTTCCACTACTCTCTGAGTATCTCAATCTCACCTCTCTCAAATTGCAGTCTTGCGCAAGTCTATGTGTCTGCATGCGTGCGTGTCTGATCTCGGCTGCCATTTGACCTCGTTACAGAGCACCACTTTAAATCAATCCCGGTTCAGATCAGATCAGATCACATCAAATCAATGATATCGTATCGAATCGAATCGGATAGAGCACTCAAAGACGAGGAGGAGGATGAATACACAAAAAACTCAATAGACGCAACAGGGAGGGGTAAGGAGGAGTTGGAGCGAAGTGGGCGGAGCGGACAAAGGGGAGAGTGTGTGGGCAGTGGTGACAGTGGAGAAGAAGGCGGGAGGAATGAAGCTGGTGCAGAGAAAGGCTCTGACTCTTCATGAAAGTGGGTCCTCCGTGGCCTCTTGCCCCTCCTTTCCCCTTCTCTGGGCCCGCCTCGCTCTCGCTCCAGCCCGCTCGAAGTAAAGCTCGACCCCAGCTGTGGCACCACCATCACCACCTCCTCCTCCTCCTCCTCATCTCCGCTTTATGCTTCTAGCAGCTCGCTTATCCTCTTTGCCAAGCTCGAAATCTCGCCCTCGGCATCCTGCTCATCCTCGCTTCCCGCGCCCTCGCCTCCAGCACCACCAGCATTCCTCTCGCTCCCCTCTCCGTCCTGACTGGCAGCTCCATCGGCCAGCTGTCTGATGAGGGGCAGCAGCTGCTCGCTTCCCCTGATGTTGCCCTCCAACGTGGCATCTCCACTCTCCAGGAGCTGCACGATTGTCCAGACGGCAATGTGCTGGAAGGTCGAATCGTGCGACTCGAGGAAGCGGACTAGGTAGCCGTGCAGCCCACCCGAAGGTTGCGACCAGACGGCATTGAAGGGTCCGTAGTCGTCTGCTTTGCTTGAGAGGTTGCCAAGGGCAGCAGCTGAGTTGCCCTGCACTTCCACTGACGGACTGGCCGTCAAAGGGATCAGGACCTCGCAAATGCCCATCTCTAGCAGCTGAGGCTTCAGGTCTTCGCTCAGGGCTAGCACAGCAGCACATGCTGTCATCTCACTCTGCACACTCAGAGGTACGGTCAGGACCAGCTCCTTGATGCGTTCCACTGCACCTGCTTCCACGATTGCGTTCTTGTTGCGTTCTGACGATGCCGCCAGGTTTCGTAGGGTAGAGATGGCGTGGCATTGAATCTCTTCGTTGTCCTCGTGCGAGAGCAGGTCGATGAGCGGGTGCAGGAAGCCGGCATCGATGATGGGGCTTTCGTTGAGCGGGTGGATGGAGACGTTCCGTACGCAAGCCGCTGCAGAGAGGATGAGGGGGAGGAAGGAGGATCGCAGCAGTCGGAGAAGAGGTGGCAGTCCGTTCGATCGTACGATCTCAATCTGGTATTTTTCGTCTGAAGCCAAGTTTCGCAGAGCCAGAGCTGCCTGGCACTGTACCTTGAGCGAACTGCTTTCCATCAGGCCAATGAGGTTCTGTACCAGTCGTGGTTCTGTCTGTGCGAGCTTCTTGCGGTTGGCAGCATCGACGGCAATGTTGGACAAGGCCGTTGTGCAGTAGTACTGAACATCGGTGTCAGAGGAGCCTAGCAGACCCACGAGGACTGGAATGGCGCCAGCATTGACAAGCTGCTGGCGATTCTCATCCGAGTGAGTCATGTTGAGCAGAGCTCCTGTGGCATTCCTCTGTACGCGCATATCCTTCGAACGAGCTAAGCGAGTCAGTGGCACAAGCGCGCCCGACTTGGCAATCTTGGTCTTGTTGTCGTCTACAATGGATGCAGGATAGGCGTACCCGTCAGCACTGTCACTCCTTGAGCCTTCTCTTGTGGCTTTAGGCTTCTCCGAATTCTACTCACCGTGAGTCGCCAGGTTAGTGATGCAGCCCACGGCGTTGCATTGCACCTCCACGTTGGGGCTCAGCATCTGCCTGATCAAGGGCTCCAATCCTCCCAGCTTCACAATCAGGAGCTTGTTGTCAGCTAGAAGGGCCAGTGTACGGCGAGAAGGCAATTGTATCAGCTCTTTCGCATCCGTGCAAGGACGGTAGGTGCGTTGTACAATGGCAGTCATGACTTACGATTGACAGCAAGATTGCCCAGTGCCGCGCTAGCCGCCCTCTGCACCTCTACATCGTGACTCTGTAGCAAGAACATGATGGGTTCCAGTGTATCCCTACCAACTTCCCTGACCTCCTTTTCTGTGATTTCTGCAAAGGCTAGTGCTGCTGATCTTTGCAGGTCGACATTGTCTGAAAAGGACAAGGTGGAGAGGGAGCGCAGTGGATCGCCAGTGAAGAAGTTGGTCTCGGATCGGTCTATGGTCGAGGGCAGGGAAGACGGTCAGCCGACGTCCTCGACGTACAAAATCAGCGCGTCTGTATCACCTGGACTCACTCTCGAGGTATTGAAGCAGATCGGCAACTGCATCGCGTTCATTGTCGAGGAGCAGTGGCTCGTAAGAGGAATTCCTGGAGCGACCACAGCATGAGCTGCAGGCACCCATCTTGATGAGAAGAGGGTTTGCGGGAGGACAAGGAGAGACGGGGAAGCCGATCTGGTACGAGTCGTGAGGTGCTCAGCAAAGGCTCCCTCTGGCGTGCGTGCGAGGCAGGTGGAGCGGCCCCTGAGGATCAAGAGGGCTGTGCTTGAGGGGGAGGACGCGGAGCAGCTCGTACCGGAGCCGTCGAACAGCAGAGGCGGACCGCTGAGAAGGCACACGGGGGAGGGAGAAGATGACACCGCCCTCGGGGATGTACAGAGTACGGGGTCGAGGTTGCAAAGGTGGTAGGACGAGCGATGCGGCGTGGTGTTGGGTACGGGAGCGACTTGGCACGAAGAGCAACCAAAGGGCGACGACGGCCACACACGCACCCACCACGCACACGCTGCCCGACAGACGCCACGCGGGCAACAAAGTCGGGGCCGGAGGCACGAACCCAGGCAGCCACACACACGCACGCACACACACATACACGCACGTTGCTCCCCTTTCCGCTCTCCAGGCGTGTCGCACCACTACGCCCAGTCTACCCCACTCCCGCTCCGTACTCACGCGCCGCCCAGCATATACCCTCAGACTCGCCTGCAAGTGCTGCTTGACGTAGACGATACCCAAAGGCCACAGCCCGCTCAACGTTGAGGCTTGGCGACTGCGCAGCCTCGTATCCTAATTGCTGTGCCGCACTTTGCCCTTGTCATGCCTCCATCCCCCCTTGCCTCCTCATCCAAAGCTCCCGATTTGCCCACCCCGCCTCGCCCGTCTCGCGGCGTCAAGAGACGCTTGCCTCCTGACCTCACGCCGTTGGTGGAGAGGACCCTCTCTTTCAAGTCGTCTGCTAATGGAAGCTCCCGAGACTCTCGCAGGGGCAGTGCCAGTACAAATGGCATAACTTCTTCAGGCGGCCAAAGTGCCGCGGTGAGCGTGAGCCCGGACAAGAGTAACCGCAAGAGAGCGTCTCGCATTGTATCCAATGATGGCAACGGCAGAGCCTCACCTTCGGAAGAGCCAGAGACGGCTATGGAGGAGAGTCAGAAGAGGACCGCAGATCTCTTCAGTGGGTGGAGAGAAGAGTACTTTGAAAGTGAGTGCATTGGGCAGGTCTTCGCCAAGAAGCTCTTGTATCTGATCAGCCTATGCGCCTCCCGTCAATTATGCGCATCCACAAGTTGTCGAGCAACTGCCATTGGAGATGCATCGCTCTTACTCTCTCATCCGCGAATTGGAGGGGCAAGTCAGAGGTGAGTGGTCACCCAAAAGACCGGCTACAGGAACGATCATGCGTGCATGCTCATAGCCGCTACCTCAATCCTTGTAGCCCATATCGAAACAATCAGACGAGAGACGTTGGCATATAGAGATTATCGTATTGCTAGACATGAACGCCAGATGGCTGCAACGGAATTGACAGCTTCGACAAGTTCGTCTGGTATGGGGAAGGGCGCTGGTCCCAGTGAATTACACGTTCGCAGTGCCAACAGTACGGACCTCACCTCCTCTGGCGATGCTCTGACCTCGGACGATTCTTCACTGAGCTCATCTGGAACTACAAAGGCTTCAACAGTCGCCGCACACTCGCACAGTACAGTCTCGACGCCTCCTCCGATACGACCGTTGGCCGCACCGTCAGGAGCACAGAAGGATTCTACTGGCAATGTTGATGCTCAAGAGCAGCCGACAGCTCCGACGACCTTGCCGACAGCACCGTACAAGCGTCATCTTTCCCTTGCGCATGTCTCCCGCGCATGCTCTTCAGCCGTTGCAGCATCGGAAGAGAAGGTAGGACTGGCTCTGGCGGTCTATCAGCTGATCGATCGGCAATGTCGCCGACTCGACGCCGACCTAGCAAAGGCTGCAGGCAGTGCTGCTGGGACTGGCGAAGGGCCAATGGAACTGGAGGAAGGGGTCCGAATGGGCACTATGGAAAGTCGTAAAAGCCAAAAGCTAGGCGGGGGTGCGGTTGCTGGGAGCGGGGAACAGGACGGAGCGGCAGCTGAGGTCACCAGCAGAAGCTCTCGTAGCGCTGCCCAGTCGCGCAGCGGCAAAGCGAGCTCGGACGCCTCGGCAAAGAACAGCAGAGGCGCTGATCAGAACAGTGCTGGATCCGGACTGGCGGATAGCGCAGCGGCCGGACCTGAATCTCTGCTAGTCAACGGACGAGATGATGGTATTCCGAACATGGCGGTGGATCCGAATGAGCCCGTGTATTGCTATTGCCGAGGTCCCAGTCACGGATTGGTGAGTAGAGCAAAGAACGTGCAGATCGGATACAGCTTTTCTGCCTTTACGAAACCGTATCTCACCCGGCTACATCTCCTTCATTGCCTTTCGGTACGTACCACAGATGGTCGGATGCGACAACGATGAATGTCCCTACGAGTGGTTCCACCTGTCTTGCCTGGGCATGACAGAGCCGCCTGCAGACAACCGTCAGTGGTTCTGTCAAGATTGCTCGCAAGCAAAGTCTGGCGGTGGGATTGCTGGAAGAGCAGACGTTGCCCCTAGTGCGATCAAGGCGGGTAGGAAGAGTGGGGGTCGGAAGAGCCAAGGTGCTACTGTGGGGACCAATGGCAAGAAGAGGTAGACTAACAGCAGGGGTATCAGGAGCTAGAAGTCTCGCGGAGCTGGCCAATCCGCCAAAGTTTTCCGAATTGTACGATAGCCTGCCAACTCATTTCGGCGAGCGGGACCCTATGCGTGTGTCGTGTGCGTGGGAAGTGCCCCAGCTCTCTGCACGTCCCCTCATCCTCTTTCCCCTCCTTCTCCTTCTCTTGCGCACCGAGACAGCAAGCACCGGCGGTCCCCACGGCTATTAGATGGTCAGCGCAAGCGGGACAGACAGATGGCGAGAGGGGATAAGGATACTGTTCCCGAAGCCCACCTAATCGCCTGCATCGGCTGCCCAGCGCGCGTGCGTCGGCTCCGCCGATACGACTTTCTCTCACAAAGCCCGGGTAGATTTGCTGACCCTCGATGAGTCGAGGGCGTTGGATAGCAATCTCGATCTTTGCTCCCCATCGCATGCGTAGACAACGTAGGGTTACGCGAGACGCTCGGTCCCTTGCTGACGGGCCTTTGTGATGCAACGGGCCGTTGCAAAGACGTTTATCCTCGATCGGTGGGATTCGCGGGACAGAGGGGACAAGTCAGTCAGTCCCGCCGGATGCACTGAGGGCCTTGTGGGAACGGAGCGGAGGCACGGGGATACGCTAGACTTCTCCTCCGGAGGGACGGGCGAAAGGGTCTTTTTTCTCTTTAAGCTACACCAATCACCCGCGGGTCGGGAGGAGGTGGGGGCGGGAAGAGTCGTGTGAGGGCGGGCGGGTTGGCAGGCAGGCAGGCGGCATGCAGCAGTAGACTCGCAGCAGCAGCGCCGCCGCTGGACATGGACCGTGTGTGCTTCGCGGCCCAGTGCCTTGTACCAGACTAGGTTGAGCCACGGCTACTTGCTCTCTACTCCCACGCTACACTACCTCTACGGCCCGCTGGGGCGCACAGTCCCGTCCTCAAAGGCCGGTGGCATGCAGTGAGCGGCGGGCCAAAGACACAAGGGCCGCTGCCTCTGCCTCTGTCTACTGTCCCGAGGTTGAATTAGCCGGGGGCGGGCAAGGCGCAGTGCCCTGTGGCCGGTCCGAATTGAATACGGAAGCTCCGACGGGGCAGCGGACCTTTTGTACCACGCGAACGAGGCAGAGCCAAGGCGCCGAGATGAGGTGGTCCAGAACATGTCATGAGCAAAGTTGACAGTCGAAGCGAGGGCGGGAGGCACCACGACCGTCCTTGGGCGGGTCGCAAGCAAGCCGCATGAGATCCGCACGGGAAGGACATGCATGCACCGCTCTCCCCTCAGCGGGAGTGGCAGTCCAGTCCAGTCCAATCCATGGGCTGCCTCGGCCGGTACTGCACCTCGGAGCTGCCACCACCACGGTAGGCCTCCTCCCTCTTCACCTCGGGATTATGAATGCCCGAGCTGCCCTTGCCCTTTGCCAGGCAATCTCTGTACCTCGAGCTTCACCTCTTCTCCATCCTTATACTACTCTGGTCTTCGATACCACTCTCCATCCTCCTACAACGCACGCAGCGTACCTTGCTTTCTCGGATTCATTTGTGCCAATACTCGGAATTCTCAACTCAGGACACAAGGCTTCAACGACGGCCACTTCCACCTCCAACCTATTAGAATACTGGGGGTTTCCCGTGCTGCGACATCAGCACCCGCGTTGCATTGCCTCCTCTACAGCCGCACCGCACGTTCATACTGTGCCTTGAAGAGCCCTCACCTGCATCCGAATAGTCCCGCATTGCAGTGCAAGAGCAACAGACAGGGTCAGACGATTGCAATCTCCTTCCGCGGAATCACTTTCAGTCGGGGTGGACTCCGTCTTTCATCAGGTACAGCCGTTCCTGTACTGGTAAGCCCTGAAGCCCCTCGGTTGCGCTCTAGTCGACCTGATATCTCGCGTCGGCAATCCTCGCAGCAACTCGTCTGTTCGATCGCTGGGATAAAGCGTAGACCAGCACAAGACGCGCCGAACGTCTTTGCCCGCACCCCTCCCACTACCAGCTACCACCCGTACACAGCCTTTCCCGACGTATAACCTCGATTCTGACGATGGCCGTAGGACCGGCTTCGGATAACTATGAGTGGTCGCAGACCGGCAATGGTGAGTTGCGATCGTCATGGAACAAAGCGTCGCGCGAGGTGTTCCTCTGATGGCTCGTTGACACCCTTTCGCTGATTCCACCTGTTCGCTGCGCACAGACTCGGCAGCGATCCTCAGCAAACCCACTCTTACATTCAAACAGGCAACCTTGGACCTCTTGTCTCCCGCCATTATGTCACCCCGCCGCCACAGCAAGAGATTGACCTGGTCTGGCGTCCCTTCGAGGAGCGCATCTCCGGCTTCGACTACATCGTCGGCTTGCGTGTCAAGTGTGCAAAACATGTCATACTCCACGAGCTACGAGGCCAACGCCTCAGACTACTTCTCCATCCCCATCAGTCATAATGGCCTCCCCACCGCAACGCCTCAATCCTACCGGTCATACGAAGACGCTCAGATGGTTCACCTCATGGATGATGCTGCGATCATGCTGGCCGGATCAGCATCGCGATGGAAGCGAGTAGCCGTCACTATGCCTCGCTCTTTCTGGAAGGCGGAGGACGACGCGTCTGCATCCAGCTGTGACCATCTCCTCTCCTCTGCCTGCGAGAAGCCCTTCGGACAATTCCTAGCTGGTTACCGCGTCCCTGCCTTTGTCAAGACTGTTGATGCGGACAAGACTGGCTCTGGCCTCCTGGATGGCTTCCTGACAACCAACAAGAGGAACACTTGCTGGCGATGCGGCAACTGCTTCTGTGATGATCATACGACCCACTACGCGACACTTTTGCTCGATGAGGCCGACTCCCCAGCGACTGGCCATGCTTCGCGACGCCCTTCGCAAGAGACTAGTATTTCGGCTCTAGCTGCCTTGGAGGAAGAAGCCGAACAGCTGTCGCTTGTTGCCGCCGCGGAGGTGCAAGGGGAGCCAGAGGCGACCACAGACACTTCGTCCACACCTCTGCCCACTGCAGCTTCCGCTCTGGCGCACTGTCTCCAACGCTCTACCCACAACTCGCCAAAGAAGCACTCTCCTGAAGCGCGACGAGCGTCATCCACCGTCTCTTCGTCGCTGAGCTCTGATGCTTGCTCCGGCACCTCAGCAGCTGCTCGGGAGAACGATCAGCAGTACTCGCTAGCGCTTTCCAATTTGCCGGCACCCGGTAGGCGTGACAGTGGACACAACACCAGCCCTTCCATCTGGCACGGCATGGCACAGCGGGATGCAGTGGCGACATCAGCAGCAGCAGCAGCCTTAGTATCATCTTCGTCAGCTTCTTCCTCCCGTTCTCACGCTACCACCAGCTCGCATGGCACCTCAGTGACCGACGAGCAACTCGCACAACTTCCGAAGCGCATTACTCTTCTGCCCAATGGTCGATATCTAGTCAGGGAGAAGGTGTGCGACAGGTGCAGCAACATCGTTGAGCAGGAGCGGGCAAAGACGGTGCAGCGCCAGGGCGCTCGTCGACAAAGTCAAGAGGACACGGCTGCCATCGATACACTAGCGGCTATCGCCCACTTCGTCGAACAGTACAACGGCGATGCGATCCCTCAGCAGAGTCAGCACACTCCTAGGGAGACGAGGCCGGCGAAGCCTCATCACCAACAGCAACAGCGCAGCATCTCATCCGACTCTCTGCACCACCGTCGAGGCCACTCGGGGGCCTACCCAACTCGCGAGCCCCGGCGCAATACCTCGATGGAGAGGCTCGGCCGTCCTGCCGCTTCAAGGCTCAGTCAGTTCTCCATGAACGGCAACACACAGCCATGGGCTGCTCGCGAAGACGACCGAGACGACGATGACGGAGAGGAAGACGAGACTTCTGGAGAGCGTAAGTGGGCAAGCCCAGCTCTGCGCTCCTCGCCCTTTTCCTCGCCATCTCTGCGCCACGCCACAGATGACCATTACTTTCCCTCGTACCTCTGCCCATCCGAGGCGGGCAGCTCGAATGCAGGAGGTCGCCGTGCTGCACCTGCGAGAGCCCCACAGGAACCAGTCATGGGCGGTCAACGATTGAAGTTCGCCATGGCTCGCTTCCAGCACTAGCGGTAGAGCTCTTGCTACTCTCCTCCCCCTTTTCTCCATACCTGCATCTACTCGTCACTCCAAGGCTCTCCTGCATTCATTCCCTCAGTCTTGTATACTCATTACCTTATAGATACCCCTGCATACACAATGTTAATAGACAGACTCTCATATTCGACAGGTGCTGTGAGAATTGAGTGAAGTGTCAGGCTTGCTTGCGCGTTGGTGAAAGAGAGTGTGCAGAGCAGTGCGTACACGCTTGAGGCGGTGTGGCTGGGCTGAGCTGTCCGCGCACGTGAGGCGCCCTTTCTTCCTCTGCCTCCGCCCAGCCCAGCCAAGGCGCACCGAGCCACGCCTAGGATTTTCTTCTTGTCCGGCCAGTACGCATCGCAGCCTCTACCTACATTCGCATCGCAAGACTGGACGCTCAACGTAGGCGTTCATTGTCACTTCATCCCCTGTTACAGCATCGTCGTGCTGAGCACCTCAACGCAAGTCTTTGACTCCTACTCGGGCTCTGAGCAATAGATTGCGACCTCCCTGCGCTCCTTCTTCCCCGTTCTCTCCCCCCTCATCTCCCACTGCTGTCCTCGTGCAGCCTCGGTCCGTCTCAAGGATGTCCGCCCAACAACAATACGAGTCCAACGGTACTTCACAGCAGTCTCGCCAACATGCCAACTTCTATGGCCAAGAGGTAGACGATGATGATGAGATGGACAACTTTGGTGAAGAGGAAGATCTTATTCCTGATTTTCCATCGGGAGCTGCTGGAGGCGGTGATGATGACCTGGATGGAAGTATAGAGGGAACGATGGATGAAGGTCAAGCTGGTGAGTACGATGATGCCTGCGCTGTCTCCCGAGCCTGTGTGAGCTCACCTCGGCGCACCCCTTTGATGTGACATCACTCGCCTCCTCCCCTCTCAGCTGCTATGCAGGAAGCCCAACTTCAGCAACAGCAGCAACAAGCCGCTGCCGCTCTGGCTGCCGTGCCGGAGCAAGTGCGCAAGTACATTGTCCTCTTCTACCAAGCAGTGCAGAACAACAATGTTCAGGACATCAGCTCAGCATACGAAGGCAACTGGAACCGTCTGACTGAGAAGTTCTACCAAAAGTCAGAGTGGCCCGAAGCAGAGGTCATTGCCCCTCTGGTGAACAATGACTCCAAGTTCCTGATGCTCTACCGTGAGCTATGGTTCCGTCACGTCTACTCGAGACTGTCTCCAGATGGCGAGGACCGCTTCAGCTCCTACGACGCCTACTGTGACTTTTTCAACCACGTCCTGAACTCGGACGGACCCGTGGCCCTGGAGCTTCCTGCCCAGTGGCTGTGGGACATTGTCGACGAGTTCATCTATCAGTTCCAGAGCTACTCGCAGTGGAGGAACAAGGTCAGCAACAAGTCCGAGGACGAGCTGCAGCTCCTCCAGGACGGTGGTGTGTGGAGCTCCTACTCGGTCCTCAATGTCCTCTATTCCCTCATTCAAAAGTCGCGCATCACGGAGCAGCTCATTGCAACGCAAGCAGGCGAGGACCCAGAGGAGGTGGCTGGCGAGTTTGGCTCGAAGCCACTGTACAAGATGCTTGGGTACTTCAGCATCATCGGTCTCCTCCGAGTGCATGTGCTGCTCGGAGACTACACACTTGCGCTCAAGATGCTTGACCATGTCGAGCTGGGCAAGAAGTCGAGCCTGATCAATCGTGTGACGGCATGTCACGTCACTGCCTACTACTACGTTGGCTTTGCCTACATGATGCTGGGAAGGTACCCAGATGCCATTAAGTCCTTCACTCACATCTTGATCTTCACCATGCGGCTGCGTCAATACCACACCAGGTCGTATCAGTACGACCAGATCAACAAGACGGCCGACAGGATGTACGCTCTGCTTGCCATTTGCTGCGCCCTGTGCCCCACACGTCTGGATGAGAACATTCAAAACACAATGCGGGACAAGTACGGTGAGCAATTCGCCAAGATGTCACGAGGTGAAGAAGGTCTTGCAGCATTCGAGGAGCTCTACCTCTACGCATGCCCCAAGTTCATCACATCCAACTCGCCCCCCTTCCACGATGCCGAGGCGCTAGAGGCCTACATGAAGGAGCCCACCATGGGTGATCCTGCCCAACACCACGTCAAGATCTTCTTGAGCGATGTCAAGGCTCAGATGACCAACGCTAACATCCGATCTTTCCTGAGGCTCTTCACCACTCTGGGCGCCGACAAGCTGGCGAGCTTCCTAGAGGTGGACGAGGAAGAGCTGCTCGAGGTCATGATGCAGCTCAAGGCCTCTACGCGCTCTCTGATCTGGTCTTCGGAGGGTCCCCTACTGGAGGGCGAAGTGGTGAACACCTCTGACCTAGACTTTTTTATCGACGACGAGATGATCCACATCAGCGAGAGCAGAGTGGGAAGGAGGTACGCCGAGTGGTTCAAGAGGAACTCGACGAGGATGCACGATGTCCTTACCACTATCCAGAGCAAGCCCCTGCCCATTGCCAGCCCAGAGACGCTCGCCGCTGCTGCTGCTGCCGCCGCTGCAGGTGGTGCGGGCGCAAGTGCAGATGGTCAGCAGGGAGCTGCTGGCGCCAAGAAGACCGTGGGCCCAAAGACGGGAGGAAATGCGTGGGGAGCTGCTGCTACCAAGTCGTCCAGTTCTATCCCCGCCTAAGGTGAGCTGAGCTGAGATCGGGAGCGGGGCGTGGGGAGTGGATCTGTGGATGCTGGGACCGGAGGGGGTCTGTGCTGAGTTGTCAGGCATGTCTGTACTTCACTACCTCGCCATGTCCGAGTTGACGATGAATGACATCACTTGTATCGCTCCTGTAGTACGCTATCGTGTGTCGTCGCCCGTAACAGTCCGCTCTCTACGCTTCTCGCGCCAACATACGGCTGTAGGGTACTAGTACGCAACCGTCGTGAAATTTCCATTCGTTCGCGCCAATGGTCCAGTGGTCAAGATACGCGCTTCCCAATATTGTTTTGGAGTTGGAATTCACACCAGCTACAACAGCGCGAGAGTCGGGTTCGATTCCCGGTTGGCGCATAGTGCCTGACCTACACCTCGCATACCCACTGAGAGAGAATTGCTTTTTTCTTTGCCTGTGAAGCATGCTCAAGGCTGGTTCTGCCTCGCCCAAGGAGTGTCAGCGAGGCTCTCGTGATCTTTCGTTGGTTGAATCCATTGGAGCTGAGCCAATGCAGATGATCTGGGTCTGACAATGCTGGATGTTCTTCCTTTGTCCCTCCTCCTCCTCGTCCCACCGACATGGTGGCCCGCTCTTGTCGGATCTGCTTGGCTAGGCTTTTACCCCTTTGTGAGGCACGCAGCTCCACAACGGGTGAAGTGTCTGGTTTCTCCCATGTGCGATCCGCTTCGATCGAGATGGCCGGGGGGAATAGGTCATAGCTTTGTCAGCCCCAGGTGACTGACACGCACAAGCTGCGTGCCAGTCCATTGCCGCGCTTCTCCGGGCTCTGCGAAGCTTTCGTATCGAAGTCGAAGTCAGAGCGGAGAGGCAGGACTGCTATGCCAATGGGCCGCCGGCATCGTTCCCCGCCGCTGCGGATGGGTTGAGAGATCCTGCCGGATGCACCAGATCGCCCGAGCTGGAGTAGCGGCCCATCTCTCCTCGTCTTTATTCGGTCAAATGTAATTCTCTTTCTCCTTTGTCTGGGCTGAAGAGTCCAGTGGGTGGCTGACCTTTCTCCTCGAATAGGGTTCGCCCGAAGACGATTCTCACGAGATGGAACCTGCGGGCTCCGGGTGGAAGTGGATTAAGCTCGGCGTTGGGAAGTCCAAGTAGAATCTGCTCCTCCACCGGCGTTCTGCCCTCAGCGCACGTCCCATTGTGGCGCAACGCCAGAACTTCGGGCCATTTTGTTTTTCTCGTGCCTGAAGCCACGCGCTACTCCGCATCGGCTCTCGCTCGTCTGTTGAGGAACTCTCGCCATTGGCTCTCTCGTCCCTGGGAACAGCGCTCCACAGACAGCCACACCTCGGGCCAAATGACGGCGGCTGAACAATCCTCCGACAAGGGAAGCTCGTCGGTTCTCCGCCCCCCCTCCTGCTCCTCTCGGAGCTGTTCATAGGCCCTCATCGGAAGTGATGAGAGTTCCAGTAGAGATGGGGAAGAGGGATCAGCTGTTGCAGGAAGGAAGACATCATTTTGGTCTCACGACAGCCCACATGAGTCGCTGATACCACCTCATACTCTACGCCCTTCGTACCTCCTCCATCTCCTTCACTCGCACGACCAGCTAATCCTTCGCTACTTCTCTCCCTTGTCCAGTCACCGGCACGCCCAGCTGTCACCTCTCGCTTCTCAAATCGTCGTTCGGCGTCACTCAGCCGCCGAGCCCGAGTCAGGGCTGTCTTGGCTCTGACCCTCGCTCATTCAATCGTCGCCGTCTTTTCAACACATAAGCACAGCGTGATGAACCACTTGGGCGATCTCGATGGCTCTTGCCAGGACTACCTGACTGCTGCGATGCACGCCTCGACACCTCCTAGCGCTGCATTGAGCCAAGCGGTGTTCGGTGTTGGCGTCGTGTGCACCATTGCGACACTGTGCGGACGTGAGTATGGGCGTGGCATCATACTCTGGCAGTCGACCGTGCGGTGGCAGAAGTGTTCCTGATGCTAATCTTGGCCTACGTCTTCTGTCGTTTACAGCCGTACTGTATGTGCTGCAGTGGCGCAGAGGCACGCTGTGGTTCTTTCAGCTCAAAAGAACTTCAAGAGGCACCTATATCGCGGTGAGTACCCTGAAGCACCGCTGTCGGTGTGCAGATTGCTCACCTTACCTGCTCACCCTGCTCACTTCTGTTGCTTGTGCTCACGTCCACTTAGTGTCACCCGCTCAACGTCTTTCTGCTCAATTCCATCCTCTGCGCCGCTTGCATCTCCATATTGGGAATCTTCACAAAAGCCTCGGAGAACGGCCACATGGATCTGATACCGGGCCTCCTCGTCCTTCAAATGCTTGCTTGGGTCTTTAGCGGCCTCAGCGCCTTTTATCTCGTCATGGGCACTTTCATCGCACTGCCCGAGGGGTGCGACATCCCAGGCCTCGTGCGCCTCAGCAGAGCACTAGCTCCTCTTTCACACCCATATGTCATCAACACGTTCATGCTATGCGCTCCAGTCGTATATACCGCTTCCAATATCCCAAACATCATTCTCGCGCCAAGGGACACCAACCTTGCGAAGTCTCTCTCCATGGTCGCCATTGAGCGAATGAGAGGCCTCGCTATGCAAGATCCGTCAGCCCTCATCCCTGCGGACGTCCAAGCTCTGCTGGTCGAGTCTGTTCACTACGAGTGGGAGGCTGAGAAACACATCGGCATTGCTTTTGTCTTCAACACACTCTTCACCTTCCTTTTGCTTTTGATTGGATATCCAACTGCCTACAGCCTTGTTTTCCTTCTACGAAGGCAGCTTCAAGAAGAAGGCAAGCGTGTCAGACGTGTGCCTCGAGACAATGCTGCTGGAGCTACCGAGAAAGCTCTCGGGACGAGTCCATGCAGGCCAGGGCTAGGCGTTCACATGATCACGAGCACCGATGTCAAAGTCGATGGTCCAGATCTGCAGGATGACAATTACGACGTCGACGTATTCCCAGCCAGACAGCGTGCGCCCCTCATTGCGGCAGCAACGTCTCCAAGCAGGAGATCCACATCGGACGCTCAGGTTGGATCATGTCCCGGATCGCCGCTCAAATTTGGAGAACCTTCGACGCCGATCACTCCGCAGTCTCTGGCAATGAGCTTGCCTTCCTCAGCGGAAGATAAAGACCTTTCCGCTTTTGGAGACGTGCCTAACCTCCCGAAAGCACCCTTTGTCGAAGATTCTCCCACGCCAGACAGCCCGAACAAACCAACTTTCCTCCGAAACATGCGCCGCAGGATGTCCTGGAGCACTCGCACCCAATCAGGTTCAGACTCCCAGAGAGACAAGACCGCCGCACTCTTACGTTTCAAGTATCTGCGCCGCTGCTTCTACACCCTGGCTACCTTCTACATCTCTATGAGCTTCATCGGCCTCGTATATCTGGGGCTATCGTTCTTCATCGCACTCGTACACTTACTTGCGCACAATCCACTGCTGAAGTCGATCAGCAATCTCATGCTCGTCTTTGAGTGTGTAGCAGCAGCTGCACTGGTCATGAACTTTACATTGGTGGGCGTGAAAGTCTTCGATTCGGGTACAGTGTAGCCAACTGCCGGATCCGCCATCTACATGAGGTCAGGGGTCCTGCAGACGATGGGAGGAAAGCATTGATCGGGAGGAAGGCAAATTCACAATATATACCCAAGACTACAAGTGCTGCTTTCGCCACCCCGTCACCCTGTTCAATAAGAATGTGCAACGTATACTCGAAAAGACGAATACCTTCCTGTGTGTCTTCCCACTATCACTTTGACATCTGCGCCGTTGATCACAGCTAATATCTGCACTACCTTCCAGGCGAGTGCCTGCATTCAAGGCTGCAGGTACCTGTCGCGAGGCTCAGAGGCTTCAGCGCCCATGTCCTCCAGGTGCATTATAGCCTCCTTTGCGTCTTGGGATACCTTTGACTGGTACCGGAATAGTCGTCACTCCTTCATGAGGTCCCGGTCCGCTGTAGTTGCCTCCTCCTTGTCCTGGAGGCGATGGACGAGGCATTGGAGGCAGGTTGATGGGCGGCAAATCCCCGTTTTTGGGAGGATTCGTGTAGGCCCAAGACCCTTGTGCTGCTCGGGCGAGGAGACGGCTAGGAGCATCGTGCAATAGTTCTGACAAGGCCTCAAGACTTCGGCGTCCATGTCCCCCTGGTCCAAAATAGCCTCCCTTACGTCGGGGAACGCCCTTACTCTTCACTGGTGCAGGAATGTTGCCCTGTTGTGGCGCAGTCCCGCTCCAGTTCCCTGGGACATGTGGTACAGGAGCCGGTTTCGGGAAAGGTGGAAGAGTGACCGGTGGCAGATTGCCATTACCAGGACGCTCGCCTTCCCATGCGGGGCCTCTGACAATCAGCTGGCTACGAATGCTGTGCAGCACCTCTCGCATACTGTCAAGATTTCTTCGTCCGTGTCCACCTGGTCCAGAATAGCCCCCTTTGCGTCTGGGTACGCCCTTGGGCGGTGCTGGCAGATACACGATGCCTTCGCTCCGGCTTTTCCCATGTGGTGGCAGTGGTCCATTGGGAATTGGCGGACTGTGAAGAGAAGGTGAATCGTTGGGAATTGGACTGTTGAAGGCCCAGGAACCCCCTTTGGCAGGAGCCCCACGACGCAGAGAGGAAGATACGGGAATGGGGAAGGCACTTGCTAGGCATTGGAGCAATGCGAAGAATGTCACAGACGTCAAGAGCTTGAAAGCGATCATGATGAGAAGACGGCTGTCACTGCTGGGGCTGGCGATGACTTCAATGCTTCGCAAGACTCAGGTGGTGGGGCCGGCGCTGCGTGGAGCGACTGCTCCTTTTGTATTAGGCGCGGACATGCATAGCCATCCGACCAATTGTCTTCAAGTAGCTTGCTCGCAACAACGATGCCCGGTTTCCTTGTGCACGTTGTGCCTCGCTCTGTTGCTTTGCAGTTGGAGACATTGATGCGCCCAGGCACCAGGGAGAAATGTGCACAGCCCTCGATCCATGCGGGACCTTTGCTGCCCTACATCTTCCGCCTAATATATTGGGACCTGATTGGCCGCCCTCATTTGCAGCATTCTTCTGCGGTCGTGGCGCGAGCGATGGCCACGGAGAGATTGAACCAGCGCTTTGAGCGTCGGGCTCCTATCGACGCACGGTCCTTGGCACGGAATGACAAGCGCACCACTATGAACGCAGGCACAAACGAGTGGAGCACCTTGAAGAAGGGCCACAGCGATTGTGCTGACGGGACGCCTGTCTGCTCTCGCTCCCTCCCTCC